TGGCTAAGTTCAACAGTGAAGAGGCTGTGGTGTAACATCCTTTTGCTTACCATCCCCTAAGCAACCTGTAGAGTGGCTCCCCCTACCAGCATAAAACAGGGTAACATTTGTCAGTGACGTCCATAAAATGAACGTCGAGGCGTAAGAAACCAAGCAGCAGACGCTCATTCTCAGTATCATATTTTAAGCCCAGTTCTGCTCCTAGGAGAGCAAAGTTACACCACCTTTCTCACTTGAAGACCACAGCAAAACTGCAGCTGAGCCACAGCTGGAGCAGCTGAGAGATGCTTCCAAGCTGTGTGGGAGCAGTATAGACCAGCTCCTCCAGCTGTGACCCCCACAGCATGTGTGCCGTCTGTCCTTAAAAAGTACACAGGCTAGGAGTCCCTGGAGAGGTCAGAGAAACTTCATTATTAGGCAAAAAAACCCCCTTTTTGATTGCTACAGGATATTGAGCTGATGCTTTGCCATCAGCTGGTTTAATACAGTGCCCCCTGAAAGTTAAATTTCTAGAGCCTTCGTTGCAGTATGGATAGAGGGTTACAAGAAAGGTTGAAAAAAACACCCAGGTATAAATATTCCATTAAAAATACAGCACCAGTGTTAAAAAACTGAGTTGACTAAAGGGGAAAGGAAGAGAGAGAAACTTCTTCCCAATGTGACAGGTATCCCGCAGGAGATCCAACACTAGGTAAAAAAAAAAATGCTTTCCAGTAAATCTGCTAAATGGATTTCTCTTTTCCCCACTTATGGATGCCTTGGTCACAGTGTGATCCCTGCTCTAGGGACAGCTTACAACCTGCTAATTAATGACTTGCCAGGAATGTGCCAGCCAGGCACAGGATCTTGCTGAAAGGGATCTGTAGCAACACTGAATCCCAAATAAGGGATCACACTTGAGCCTGAAGATGCAGAAGAGCAAAATCAGACAAATTTAATTCTACCAGGGAGTAACAGCAGGGCTACATGCACCTCACAGGAGACAATTATTCTGCTCTATTTAGCAGTGCTGAAGTCAGAGTTTGGACGCTGTGCCTAATTTTAGACATGGTGGCTTTAGAGGGAAAGGAAGTGCAGAAAAAAAATTTAAAATGGTGCATTTACAAAATGTAAGTTCTGAGGGAGACTTGTAAGAACTGGCTTTATTTAATTAGTAAGTGGATAGTGAGAAGAGGACAGGCCAGCAATCTTTAAATAAATGAGAGGATACAATCAAAAACAAGATGTATGGGGGTTCTGTTTGGAAAAGGCTGGGCATTTGGCTTAATGAGAAAGAGGAAAACCTGATAAAAACATGAAAAAAAAAATCTCAATTAACCAGTAAGAAAAATGATGGAGCAGCTATGAAAGAAAAAAAAAAATCACAGAAGTTGTTTACAAACAATATGAAACAATGAAAAACAAATGCTTTGAACTTTGTGGAACCATTAGATACTCCTCAGATACAAGAATGGATTAGATAACCTGGTGAGGTCCATACCAGTATTACATTTCTCTGATGACTTTTATTGATTTTCATACTTTATACCCTTAATTTTAATTACTAGGAGTTCTAAAAGACAATATTAAAAGAATATTTTATTAAAACAAACTGACACACCTGGAAATGTCCAGAGACAATAAACTTCCATGCTTTGGTTCCCTAGAGAGCAGACTCTACCATTTCAGTCTTAGAAGACTGTTTTAATGTATTAAAGGAGTTAAAAGAATAAAAAAAACCCCACAAATCACCAGAAGGACATATAATTTCCTTCCAATCGATTGTCTCCTTCTGTCAATTGTAATGTTGCAAATTAACACTTGAGTCAACTGAATTAGATCAGCACTGGAAATCCTGACATTTCAGCAAGCAGCCAGAGATATAAGAAAATATAATGCATCAGTTGTTTATTTAAAAAAAAACCCCACAAAATTGTCAACAAACCAAAACTTATCAAGCCCAAACAAACTTGATGGTGGTGGAGCACCTCTCCTACGGGGAGAGTCTGGGAGAATTGGGATTTTTCAGCCTGGAGAAGAGAAGGCTTTGGGGTGTCCTAATTGTGGCCTTCCAGTGCCTGAAGGGAGCTGCCAAGAAAGATGGAGAGAGACTTTGGACAAGGGCTTGGAGTGACAGTACAAGGGGCAATGGAGTCAAACTAAAAGAGAGTAGGTTTAGATTAGACGTTAGAGAAAAGTTCTTCCCTGTGAGGGTGGGGAGGCCCTGCACAGGTTTCCCAGAGAAGCTGTGGCTGCCCCATCCCTGGAAGTGTCCAAGGCCAGGTTGGATGAAGCTCTGAGCAACCCGGGATAGTGGAAGGTGTCCCTGCCCATGGTGGGGGGTTGGAACAAGTTGATCTCCAAGGTCCCTTCCAACCCACACCATTCTGTGATTCCATGAAACATGAAGTATTCGTTTTTAGCCAGAGCAAGAAGTCAAAGCAGCAATTAATTTTAAATCAATTGTTTTTAAATGACATCTTATTTAGCAAGTTTGCCATTATAAATGGTGTGATATTTTATCTTTTTCTTTTAAGAAACTTCTTAGTTCTAGGTTTAAGCTTCCTTTCACTTCTCAGTGTTGTGGTTTAAAACCATCTATAAATTAAGATCCAAGCAGCTGCTTCCCTTCCCTCCACCCTCTCCAGTGAGAAAGGGACAAAGAGGTGGAGTAAGGCCAACATATACTGTCCACCAGCAACCTCTGCAGTGGGTTAAAACTTAATCTTCACTTTGCTCTGGATGCAGATGAGCTTTCTGATCACTAGAGAAAGCCTTGCTGTCCCAGCCTTGCTCAGCTTTCTCTCTGGAGCACACTGCTCTGGTGTTTTGGTGTCTGTAATGTGGGAGACCAGGAAATTGCTCCAAAATGGTTTATTGTGAGAACAGGAATACGTCCATGTTTCTTCCCCCATACTTCTTGCATGGTGGTCGACACGGGCTGGGCAGCAATAGTCCACAGGAGCAAGCTAAGTCCAGTTCAGGACCTGCACAATGTAATGTCTGAATCTGGGGCAAAAGTCTACACTTCTATGACACTTCAGAAGAACCCAACTTAAGGGCCAAATGCACAGAAGGGATCAGGGATAGAAAAGGGGGTGCTAGTTCATAAAGATGCACAGATGTCAGTGTTTCTTAGGAAGAAAAACCCAGTGTATTGCGGGTTACCTCTGAGCTGAGCCAAGTAACAAATTTGATTAAAGGCTGTATTTTCCAGTGTGATTTTAATGTCTTCAAAAGACAAAGAAGCCACCATTTTTGTAGGTGACTCTAAGGTTAATAATACTCAACATTAAGAAAAGAGCACCTCATTTCTCCCTTGTTATCCCACAATTATCTCCAGAGGTCACTGTTGCTGCATCTGTGCCCCTGGATGCAGGGACTCTGCGTTTCCTTACGGCTCAAGGAAAATAAAGCAGTGAGACCTTGTAGAACATGAAATATATCTATAAAAGGTGGTCTAGGCCTGCTGTAAAGGGCAACATTTCCACACAGGAGTTTATAATTGAGCTGGATGCTGACACTGGGGTTTAGAGACGTAACAAGAACTAATAGTGTTTGCAGCAGAATGTACCATAGAAAATGACTGTGCCTCAATTTAAAGACATCAGCCAACTAAGGTGAGGAAACAATGAAGGAAGGAGCTGAAGCAGCCGAGCAGGCAATGCCTGGTTGATGTATAACCAGTAATGTTATCTTAAAGAAATTCATAAGGTGGTCACTCAGAGCTTTGGGGCCTCCATACAGAGATGACCACCAGAGACCCTCAGAGACCTTATAAGGATATGGATATATGCTAGTAAGTGTTTGGAAACGTCAGGAATATGCAACAGGAATGCGGGGAACAAAAATGAATAATTGTGTAACGCAGACATATCAGCTGGAACTGAGATGTCACGGGGTGCATTTTAGCGAGCTGATTCCTGGGGCACCTGACACGCCGAAATCATTCCAGCGTGCTGGAATAAAGGAGCACCTGGCTTCTAAAGCTCACAGATTGAGTGCCGATTTTAGGCAGGTCACTGCCAACACCTCCGTGTCCAACAGGGCCGCCGGCACTGGCCACTGGTAGGGCATAGATGTAGCCTAAAACCTATATTATGTAATTTTACTAGTGCCTTTGTGCCGGTTTTCTAAAATGCTCGATAGACGGGAATTTTAACGACGTAAAGGGTTTCTCTTATCTGTGAACTGGACTGAGAAAGAGACGTAACATCTGACAAAACCAGGCAAAGCTATTGAGAAGCCTCGGAGCCGCTCCAGAAGGCGTGATGCTGTGCCAAAGGAGACGAGGAGGAGGAAGAAGAAGAGAAGATGAAGATGAGGTCTTGTTGAGACCCCCGACTCAAATTGGGGAGGCGCGGCGAGGGCGGTACTGTGGGAGGCACGGTTTCGGAAGTGGGCGTAACAGCATTAGGTAATGCTTTGAATTGTTAATTAGGTAACCAAATAAAAGCAAGAGGCTTTTGTAACTCAGGCAGGCGCGCACGCTTTGGGAAATACCCCTGCGCATCACGGCCGCCGTAGTAAACAGAGTGCTTTTCGCTTTCTTTCTGAAAGAGTCCTAGGGTGTTGTTTTCCGGCACCACAGACGGAAGGGTGCGGCTCCCACCGGCACCCTCAGCGTCTGCAGCGGCGGCTCCCGGGCGGGAACAGGGAGCGGGAAAGGGCGGGAGCACCGCCCCCGCGCGCCATTGGCCGCCTCCCGCCGTGGGCGGGGCCGTGGCTGGCGGCCCGTTTGAAACGGCGCGGGCGGCTCCCATTGGCGGCCGCCGCGGGGGGGCGGGGCGTGGGCGGGGCCGGGGGCGCGCCCCAACCTGCCCGGCCTATCCCAGACGCCATTTAGCGCGGGTGGGCGGGGTCAGGCTGAAGAACGCCCTCGCCATTGGCCGGTGACCCTGCCAGGTACTGCGCTGTGGCCAATCCGTGGGGAGCCCCGCTTAGCGGGCGGTCCTGGCGCGGCCCCGGGGCGGCCATGACCGCGGTCCCTCGGTCCCCGCCGCGGTGACGGCGCCGGGGGCGCGGGCCGGGCCGCACCGGCCTCCGGATGGAGGCGGCGGAGGAGACGCGGCGGCGCAAGCTGGAGGCCGGCAGGGCCAAGGTGAGGGGAAGAGATGCCGGCTGGGCGGGGGCTGCAAGGGCCGGGGGTTGCGGTATCGCGCCAGCCCGCCCGCGGTCTCTGCGTGGCGGGGTCCGTGCGGGGTCCTGGCAGCGGCAGGGCCGAGCGGCTGTGCCGGGAGTCTGGGGGGACTCACTTGGGCAGCGCGGCTCTGCAGGGAAAAGTACGCCCGGCAGGCTGCCCGGGGGGCTCCCATCCTGCCGCTCGGACAGCGTCCCAGGTGAGCCCGGAGCAGCTGACAGCAGTGCGTGTGCCTTCCCCCACGTCCTGCTTTGCTTTGCTTTGGTGTTAGCTTTTAATTCCCAGCTCTCCCGATTTTATCTGGGATTCGGGTGTTTGGGGGAGTACTGCGTTTCCAGGTGAGGATCCCAAAGAGCAGACGTTGTGTGTTTTAGTATTTATTATTGCAGCTACAACTTCCTGGGGAGGGGCAGAGGAGGGGCAGCACCGTCTCTGCTCTGTGGGGACCAGGGACAGGACCCCAGGGAAAGGCCTGAAGTTGTGCCAGGGCAGGATCAGGTTGGATCTCACCCTTCCCCGAGAGGGTGGCTGGGCACTGACCAGGCTCCCCAGGGCAGTGGGCACAGCACCAAGGCTGCCAGAGCTCCAGGAGTGTTTGGATGATCCTCTGGGGCACAGGATGTGACTCTTGGGGATGGCCCTGTGCAGGGCTAAGAGTTAGACTCCATGATCCTTGTGGGTCCTTTCTAACTCAGCTGATGTATAAAGATAACATTCTCTTAGTAATTACTGTCTGCAGCCATGTGGTTAACGCCTGATGTGTGTTATCCTCCTTAGATAAAAGAAATTCTACTTTGTTTTGGTATCAGTGTTCAATAAGCTGGTTAGAAATGCTTGGTTACTTTTCTTTTAATTCAGCATTTCTGCTGGGTTTTGAGCTGTTTCTGTCACATTTCCCTTCTGGCTATCTCTTGCCAGTCTGTGGCTACAGCCACAGGGTGAAAAGTAACCTTAGTGTGCTAAGACCCATGTTAACATTTCTGTTAACATAAGTTAACTCTCAGTGCAGAATCTGTTTGTAGTGAGAAAAAATGGGATTGACTTGGCTTGAATAAGTTACCAGTTCCCACCTGTTGCACAGCTGTTGTTTACCATTGAAAAGAAAAAAAGCATGGACTTGCATTATGTTTCAGGTTACGTGTGCATAGCCAGTGTTGCATTTACTGTTTTTTTGCACTGTGTGTTAAATCTCTCTCATCTTCCCATTTAAAAAAAAAGCATTATTAGCAGCCCCATCAATCTTGTTGCTGCACAGTGTCACATACCTGGTATGCTGAGAGGAGAGGAAAGGGTTTAGAAAGGCAGACGGAGTTGTAGTGCTTCCTCTGCTTCTTAAAATGTCACAGAGATCTGTCCCTTGGCTGGCAGGCTGTGGGCACCAGGAAGTTTTCAAAAAACACCGGGATGGATGAATGAATGGAAGCAGTATCCATTGGGGCTTAGTAAACACAAAGGTAGTGTGTTAGGGTTTGTAAGGCAAGCACGTGAGATGCACGTTCCTTACTATGCTCATACCCAATATCTGCTGTGTGTGGCTGTGTGCTTGCCCTGCTGTTGTATCTTTACTTATATATTTGAAGTTGTAGAGCTGACTTATGGAACAGGTGCATATTGGGCTAATTACTGGAATAAATGCCCCTCAGTGTAGCCCGTGGTGTGTTCTTAATTCCACGGTAGGATGTGGCCATGCTGCTGGAGAAGGTGGGCTGCAGGACTGTAACTTCCTTCAGAAACTTTGGGTAGCTTATGTTTAAAGGCCCTTGTGTAATAGAGCCGTAAGGAAACGTTTCTCCTGTTTTGTTCTTTTGTTTTTCCTTTTTCCTGTTTTCTTTGTGCTGTCCTCCTCTTGAATGCAAGTGCAGTTTTGAAAGGGAGGCAGGACCATGAACAGGTACAGGTTTTCCTTCCTGTGGTGCAGCTTAGAGCAGCTTAAGGTGATCCCGTCTGCGGTCTGACACGGAAGTGTTCAGTGTTCATCAGATCAGCTCCCTGAATCATCTCACCTCATCACTGCACAGGTATCAGGGGGACAGCAGGGGACAGGAGTGAGGCTGGTTGGGTAGCCTGTGCAGTGATGGTAACTGCAGTCTGATACTGCTTCAGTGGGGAGGTGTGAACTGCTGTGGGGCTTTTCGCTTACCCCCCCCCTTATTTTATTATTGACATCCTTAGATTTTAGTCTGCTAAGCAATGACTTGGGAAAGAAATATAATGTAAATGTTTTCATTTTAAAATCAGTGCTTGCATTTAAGTTATCACATAATAACAACAACTGTTTTATTAGTTGGAAATTGTAATGATTTGGCAGCTAAGTGCTGACTGTGTCAGGTACTTCGGGTTCCTGTTTTTAATAAATACATTAGTAAATAATAAATGCAATACTGATAGCTGAGGTGTAATAATGGAGAAACAGAACAAACCCCAAGTATTCAGTGCTTCTTTTTTCTCCTTGTTTTTTATTAGCTAGTCATGCCAGCCCCCTGTGTCTTTAGTTACAGAGCTCTGTGTGCCATACCCCAGACGTGAGTAGCTTTTGCTCTTCCTGTATTTTACATGTTAGGAGACGAAAAAGGAGTTCAGGTTTTCCAGGAAGTTCTCCCACTTCATCATTTTGAGGAAGCTCTAGAAAACGTTTCTGGGTTTTGTCTGAGGGCACTTGTTGCTTATGTTTGCTGTAGCCAAGAGCTGTATCCAAGAGGTTTATTTGGACAACGTGTTTCTGTTTGGTTGCGATGTGGTTTTCTGTTCAGTTCAATTTTCTGTGGGTGTTGGTTTTGGTACTGACTTCTGAAGCACATAAAGCAGCAGGTCAACTTCTAACTGACTGTTCCTGGTGAAATGAAGTTGCAGAGTGTTGGTACCCACAGAAAGGTGGTGTTCTGTCATGGAGAGCTGCTTTGGCTGCTGTGGTGGACAGTGCTCTTGGGGTTCCTGTGGAATGCTGCATCTTGGCTAGAAGTGAAGCTTTTGCCTTTGCACTTTTCTAGAAAGCAAAGGGAGAGTTAAATCCTTCAAAAGGGGCACAATGGGATCTCACTGTGGTGGGGGAGAGGCAGTTATGTCACGGTTGCTTCACGTTCACACCCGCTGTTTTGTGTTGAATGACTGAGAACCTGATATACTCTTACAGTGACACTTAAATTTGTGTAGCTGATTGAAAGCGTGGGAAACCCAATATTGCTCTACATAGAACTTTTCCCCATCCAGTGATTCCATAAGTCTGAAGAATATTTGACTCCAGCCACTCCACCAAGTCCAGCAGTTCCATAAAATTTTGGCATAGTTGGTTATTTTTGCATGATATGTATTATGATTTTGTGTGTTTAGTGCACGTGAATGGGACAAAATATGTTTTGTTTTCTTTGGCTGTGCATTTAAAAATTCATGGTTGTGTATTCAGTCATGCCAAGTCTTGGTATTTTAATGTCAGATGCTCCGTGTCCCTTCGTGAAATCGTTAACTGCTCTCCATGGTGCCCACTCTCTCTGCCTTTCCTTTCTCATCTTTTCTGGTTGTTTTACACTTGTTTTCCCGTTTTCCCTGCTTCAGCAGTTTCCTCTATTCTCTATTTTTCTGCAGGTTTCCTCCTGCCCCGTTTTCCCCATGTTATCAGGTTAATTAGTGCACTGGCTATTTTTAACGTGTATTGCCATCAGTAAGTGCTGGAGTTAACACCTGATTTCAGAGAACAGTATTTGTGTCTTACTGCAGCTTTATGTACTAGCCTGTTCATTTTGCTTATCATGAAAGGCACAGGACATCAGGTGATCTTCATTTAATCTGCATTCAGTATTAATAAGTATAGAAATTAAAAATAAGCTGTTTGCACCTAAGTGTTTTTTATCAGCTGGTAAGAAACAGCAAATACACCTTTGTCTTTCTGCAAATACTCCTTTTAAACGGGCTGCTCAGTGTAGCAGATGTGTGTCTGTATTTCTGTGGAGTAGCTAAGCTGTAAGGTGGAAGTTGCTGTAAGGGGAGGAAACTGAACTAGATCCATTTCACAAACTGAATGAGAAGACACAGGCAAAATTTTTGTGTGAGGTGGCTGTTTGACAGGAAAACCAAGCTGTCTAGCAGTGGATTTTCATATGTATTGCAGGTAGAACTTGGCAATGATGTTTACATCCAGTCATCATACAACTATCTGTTTTATCTCATCACGAGGATATAACACTGCACTTGATAAGCCATGGCTTTAACCTTGAAGAAGGCTTTTTCCTTATGAGAAGGATGTCTGGATTTATGCTGTGAGGGAGATGTTACTTGGAAATGCTCCCTAAACACAGTACTAGAGTTGAAAATAACAATAACCCTTTTTAAGCTGTTTAAGGTGCTAGGGAGAGTTGGGTAATAAATTCTGTCAGTGACATTCTTTACAGGTCCCTGGGGCTTTGTGGGGCTGTGATAGCCTGATAAAGTAGAGCATCTGATTCTTCAACAGAAGAAATTAAAATGACCTGGCTTAATTGATTTTCTATTTATGTACTGGAGGCTGCTTTCTGGCGAGGAAGTTTTGCTGTATTCTCTTAAGGGGGTGGCAGGGAAGGAGCGTGAGGATTCACTTCCGTTAATTTTAATCTCAAAGCTTACGCTGGCAAGGATCTGTTTAGATATATTTGTAGGGGTGCGCTGGCTTTGGCACCATGACAGGGGGGTTCTCGTTTTTGCTAGTCTTGCAGAAAGACTGCTCGATTATTATTTTTCCCTAATGCTTCTAGTGTATTGACAACTTGTTCCTTCGCTGGTCTGCCTTGCTGTAATTCTGGATTGTCATTAACACACAAAGTTTCACTGAGTAAAATTTGATTCTTGTGTTGAAATGAGTCTTTAGCGCTGATGTGAGATCTGTTGCTTAAGGGCTCAGTCATCCAGTACGTTGTGAGTGCATGGAAAGTAGGGAGACAACGCAGTTTTTCTGCAGATGTATAGATTTTATCGAGGCAGGATCTTCATCACCCATGACTGTGTTAATCTTGTGGTCCTGCTACCTTTTCCTCGCTTACCTCTCCCTCTACCTCTTCCAATCTTTTCTGCACAGTTTGCTCACTTCAGACAGCGAAAAGCAAAGAGCGACGTCGCGCAGCCGCAGAAAAAGGCGGCGCAGAGGAAGGGCTCGGCTGTCCACCCGCATGACGTTCCGGAGGAAGAGCACCCAGTAGCAGCCAGAGGTGTTGGCAAGGGCGTAGAGAGTAAGGCTGAAGACACCAACCTACTAGAGGCGACAACAGAGGTAAAATCTTAGTATTTCTTGCCTTGGCTTCGCCCCATCTGCAGGTAACGAGTGCTCCAGGTGATTGTGGTACTTGGGCGCGAGTTCACTGGCGCTGTCGACGAGCTGCCATCAAGGAGGAATTAAACTGGTGTATTTTCACTTGTAATAACTCACTCTGTTACAAAGTGGTGTCAGTTACGGAGTAAGGCATCTCCATGATACGGCCTGGACAGCTGCTAATGTCAGGGAGCTGTTAGCCTGCTAAGTTGTGGTCTTTCACCTTTCGCTGCCGTGGACTTCTCTTCTTCTAGTTACATGGCTGTGACTTCATGTAATGGCAAATCTGGATTAAGAGGTATAGCAGATGAGCAAAACTGCCAGAACTTTATAATGCATGTTATTAGTCTGGTTTTGTATCACTTTGCTGGCTCAAAAATGCTTAATGTTTTCTGAAACATTATTATTTATTCCAGGAAGCTCTCAATAGCCATTGTAAAGCCAGTATAGATGTTATTTCCAATGCCAGATTTGTTTAAAATGTGACTCTGCTTGTGCCTAATGTGTTTCAATATGTTTGTACTGATGACCCCCTAAAGGTAATCATGTTCTCTGTACAAAGATTCATGAGTTTTGGGGAGGTGGTGCCTTCTGCATCAAAAGCATCTCTCCAGCTGTTGATGTGTTTTCACAGCATACCACAACAGCATCAAACTAGTGTGTTTGGAAACCTGCAATAATGGAGGATACAATTTTCATGTATCATCCTGCTTTCTGTTTTGGGGGTATCCCTGATGCTTTCAGGATATCTTCAACATAATGCAAAGGCTGTTATGAAGCTACACACCAAAGTGTCCGAGAAAAAACACAGTATTTTGTCACTCAGCCACAGCAATGTCCTTACTATATTCATGTGAACTTAAATTCAAAAAGAAACAAAAATCACTTACAGCTTCTAACCAGTTTTTGTCAAAATAGCTGATTTATAAAGCAGCTGGAATTCTAGGTTACCTGGAGAGGGCACCTCCAGGGAGACAGTAATCATTGGGAACTACTTCGTGCAGATTCAAAATACAGGGAGGGCTGTGGACTGCCTTTTCCAAATAGTGCTACAGTCATCTTGGTCTTGTTGGGAATTTAGTGAAAGGGAAACATCTTTCAAGATACCAAGCTACCTTATGGACGTGTGTCAGGAAAAAAGTACTTCTTTTGTAGTTACCTGAATGGTTTCAGCATGTTTGTTAAATAATCTCCTGTCAATTTACTAGTATTTAGCAGGAGATCAAAGATTGCTCAGCCACAGGAGCTGAGGATCAAACATTGAATCTCAGTGGTGAGGCTTAGCCCTAAATTTAAGTAGACATTTGTAATAATTTTTGCTTGTTTGTTTGGTTTTTGCTGTTAATTATTTCATTTCACCATGGCAGACCAGCTGGGTTTAGCATTAAAAGTCAGTCTCTCACTGATATGTTATCTCACAACATGGACCTTTCTGGCTCATGTGCTTTAGGGTGTTTCCGAAATAATTCTGGGTTTCCTTATTTTCCTTTTTTCCCCCCTCTTAATTTTCCTTATTTTCTTTTAAAATGGCCACTATTTAGTGTCTGTTTTATTTGTTTACTTACCAGGGAAATGCTGATTTGTCCAGCTGGGACGCACTGAACGATCATGCAACTGAAGTAAGTGTGAGAGAATGTATCTTTAGTAAAAGATCCTGCATAGGTCTGTGATAGTTGGTTGCTGAAATTATTAATTGGGCATTGTTATCAAATGAGATAAAACTGATGCGATTTCACTATTTTACAGTCTAAACCAGGCACTTTTCTGTCTGTACCAACTATGAAATTGGTTGCTAAGAAGTTTTAGTGAAATTGTAGACTTTGTCCAGAGAAATTTGAATGATGTTTATAATTGAAAAGTAGGTTCATTCTTAGTTGTTTCATGTGATACAAACAAAAAGTATTTAAAATGAAATACAAGATGCTGTATGTCTTCTGTGAGAACTGTAACAATATTGCTCTTCAAAACCACAGGAATTTAGTTTTAATTGAAGAACTTAACATTGTTATTTTTCCTGTGGATGGACTGTTCTCCAGTCAGCACAAATGAATGTAAAAATTTTGCTTGTTTGGTAGTATTCTGCCTGCCCCCTCCCAAATTTCAGTCAGTTGTTGGAAGGTATTTATATCCCAATACATGCCAAAATGGCACATTGCCACCATTTGGTGCTATAGAATCACAACATGCTTAATTTACTTTTGTGCCTTAAAGTATCATGTGAAAATATATTATTTATTAATTTTTTTATTTGCATTTTTTTAACAATTAAAGACTTCATGTATATAGTGTTTCTGTTAAACACTTTGTGTTTAATAGAAAGGTTGAATTACTTTAAAAGTAGAATTTGCCTAGGACTTAACCTTGAAGCTGAGTTTATTTTCAGACTAACTGCAAACCAGAAATGATATATTATTTTAGTGAATAAATATGTTTTTGTTTCTTTTATGAAGAAATACAGGATAAATTCTACTGCAGAATACAGCGAGGCTGATGCTAAGATGTGTCAGGCAAGGATAGCTGAGCTGGAGAACAGACTTCTGGAGAAACAGGAGGCAGTGGAAAAACTCACTGCACAGATAGATGAACTGCAGGACCAACTCACACAGCACAAAGACTCTGTGCAGCTTCAGGTATGTTTCATAGAAGTGGATAATGGGATAATAATATTTCACTTTAATCCTGAAAATATTTAGGTGGCAAAACTGAAAAGAAGTGTTTTTTTTTTTTAATGTGAAATGCTTCACCTTGCTAACTGCAAAAAGCAGCATCCTCTTCCAGAATATTAAAAAATAATGTATTGAATTCTCCTTCTCTAGCAGTTCTATGTAAAGGTAAATTATTACCAGGTGGTTCCTAAGAATAGCTCTTTGCCCCTTTGTGTGGTTTTCTTTTTTTTCCCCCCTCCTTCTAGGACTGGGGAAACAAAGACATTTCCTGTTGGTGAGAAATAAATTGAAAAGATTAATTTGATTAACGGGAAATAGGATTAATGTGTCCCATCTCATCAGCTTCCTTTCACGTGGCTGAAGGGAAGAGCTGACAGATAGGACTCATTTTAGGGAGCACTAAATATTCATTATATACTTTTTGAAAACCTTATTGCTTTTACATCAATTAGAGCTACAAATTTTGAAGTAAAAATGTTAATTTCATTACTGGTATCCTATAGTTTGTTTAAAAAGTCACTTTTGATTAGGTTTGTCATCCTTGAGATCAGTGTAAGACTCCTCTTTCATCACACCTGCCGTTGTCTTTGAACACCTCTGGTGCAAGTTTGTTACAACTATGGATTCTTGTAGCAGCTTTGAAGAAAACTTACTTGGTTCCAAGTATACTAGGAATATTTTAGCTTCAAAAGTGCACTTCTCGTGATCCCCGTAGGAAACTACTTTTCAAGAGCAGAATGAAATCATCAGGAAGCTCACGAGCTGCCTTCAGCAGGCCAAGGAAGACCGGGATGACCTGCAGGAAGAGGCTTTGCGCGTTGCCGGTCAGGTCCACGATTTACAGCTGCAGTTACATCAGGTGTGCCTCTCCTCCAGTCTCTGTGTCCTTACCGAGAGAGTAAGAACAGGTTTGGACTATGAATGTGGAAACATATTGAGCTGGTCATGTAGCTCTTGCTAGTTCATATTGTAGCACAGCAGTGAAAGTGATTTCAGGGCAAGGTGGAGCATTTTTTTTTCCGGAGAAGTCCCCGGAAACATCCTCATATTTTCCACTTGATTGTGTAATGTTTTTGGAGGTCATTACACTTCCTTGTCCATCAGTTAATAAGCCCTTGTTAGGGAACTTCACACAATATTGTTGGTGGCTTGGGGGTCTGTACACAACCATTGCTGTAATAACTTGAGTTTGCACGTGATCATTTTTCCTTTGCCAAAGAAATCTCGGAGTTTATACTTGGGCAACTGGAACAACTCAGCTGTTAGACAGAACTTGCTGTACTGAGGTAATGTGACTTGGCTCAAAGAAGGAGATTTAAAATAACGTGAAGATGGTTGAGGCAACCCCCTGTGGCACACAGAACCTGCTTCAGTGCAACAAGTTGATCATGGATGTAATCCCCGGATAATGAGAGATACTGCAGCCTTTCATCTACTTTAAAATGTATTTTAAAAAATGCTTTGTGTTTTGGTGATGCTCAGTGTTCTAATGGTTGTTCTCTCTGAACCCATATATTTATTGTCTTTGGAGCCTTTTAGTATAAGCCAAAGAGAAATATTTCTGTATAGTTACCATTTCAGGTTTGCAGGATAAGAGTTGCCCTAGGTGGGATTACATGTCTTAACTGTCTGGATAGGAAAGGAAGGGGGTTTAAAAATTTTAAAAAAGGTAAACCTGGGACTTTTTAGTTCAGGGATTATCTTGAAGGAGTTGCTCATGCCCTAGAAAATAAATTGTCTGCTAAATGAAATCTTGTAAAATAACAAAAAAATACTGTTTTCTATTTGCAATTCTAGTTGCTGTCAATTTTGATAATAGATGAAAGCACTAATACTGTCTTAGGTATTATTTCTTGGCTTTAGCAACATCTTCAGAAAAAGATTTTAAAAATGAGTAGAACACATTTTATGTTACCCCCGTGGTGGAAATGTTTTCATTTGAAGGGATGTGGAGAGAGAAAAAAACAAAACAAAACAAAACCCTTCAGTAATGAGCTGTAAATCCTTTGCAGAGAAGACTGGTTTCGTTCATTGTCTTCTTACTGGTATGTCCAGTCCATTGGAAGTTCTGCTTCATATTGGAGGAATTCAGTATGGTTCATTATGTTAGATTTTTAGGCTCTTAATATTGAAGAATTCATCATAGGGCTGAATCATCTAACACATCTTTACAGTAAGTAATAGTATCTAAAACATGACAAGAGTTGCCTGACTTTTTAGGGAGATTCTTATCTGTTGAGAATGAAAGCCATAGGGCAAATCTGTAGTAAATGAATGCAGTGTATTTTATGCAGACAGTGAGTCTTGTGCATGAGTTGTTTGGATACAAACTGACTTCTGACTGGGAGTACCCTTATGTGCTCAGGTTAACCAGATGCTGAGGAGTAAAAGTCTCAGGAAAAACGAAGGATTGGAAGCCCAGCAGCAAATGTCCTTGTTCCAGGATCGTCTCAGAGAGCAAAATGCCCACTTGGAGATGCTGCGCCAGAAAGCACATGACCTGGAAGTACAGTTGGAGTCTTCTCAAAAGGTAAAAACATACACTGATTCCTTTATAATAATTATTTCCAATTTGGTGGTAACTCGGACCTGCTGTAGTGACACAATCGTGAAAAAAGTCTTCTTCTTTAGAAGTAAATCCGCAGGGATTGTGGATACAAACATTAAAGGAACAGCTTAAAAGGTCTGATCTCCTTTAAGAATGTAACCAGCAATGCCATGGATAGAAGCCTTAAAAGTTTAAGTGGATCAGAGGAGGCAAAATTTGACATGGCTGTTCCGTTGGCTTGCTCCTGCCTATGGGAGGTATTTTTTCTAAGCTGTGGGGTGGAGAGGTGTCTGTAGCTCTTGATGTTATTTTATTTTATTTGTAATTAAAATGGCTGAAGCTTGAGACAGCCACTATTTCCCTTCTCTCTGGAGTCAGTGGCATACCATTTAGGCAATTTGATATTTTTATTATCACATTTGAGGAGTGTTTCAGTGGTACTTTCCAATCTCTGTGCTTAAAAATGCTGTTGCGTAGGCCAATGATACACCCTGCGCTTAATTATTATTCTTGAAGGTAAATTAAAAGCTTGAGACTTAAGGAAATTAAAATCATGTCACATTTCAATGGCTTATTTCATATGTAATGTTTTGTTTTTAAGAATACCGAAGATAAAGAAAATCTCCTTGCCCAAATGGAAGAGGATATGAAAGGTACAATGCAAGAGCTATACAAAAGCATAGATGAAAAAGAGCAGTGCATTAAAAGTCTTCAGGATCTGCTGGCAACAGAAAGATTTGGCTTGTCTGTACTACAACAAACACTTTCTCTCCGGGACTCAGAAATAACAGAGTTAAAGAATGAAATAGCTTTATCCAAAGTGAAAGAACAGCAACATATTGAAGAACTGAAAACCATTCATGAGAAGGATATTTGCAGACAGTTGGGTAACTTGAGGAATGAGCTGGAGAAGTGCTACAGAAGAGAGACTGCAGTAGCCAAGCAGGCATATGAAGAAGAAATTATTTTAAAATACAAGAATGAGCTTGAACAGTTAAAAAAAGAACTCTATGCTTTGAATTCTGAAGAACACGTTCAGAATTTGAATGGCATAATAATTGACTTAAATATTAGTCTTCAGGAGTCTGAAATTAATAACGAAAATTTGAGGAAGAGACTTGAAAACCAAGAAGAGGACTTTCAGAGAGAGAAATCTGAAATTGAGACTAAATACAAGGATTTAATTGATGGCCTTAAGTGTCAACTTTCTGATGCAGAAGAGCAGGCTAAGGAAGCCCAACGATATAAACAAGAAAAAGAGTCCTTGAATGAAGAGATTCAGAAACTGAATTCTTTCATCCAGGAATTAAATGAAAAGCGACTTTATGAGGCTGAAAAAAGTATAGATGCAGGGCAAAAGCGCGATGGAGAGATTGTCTCCAATAAAAAGCTAATGAAATTGAGGGAAAACCCAATTTTATCAGGGGTGTCAGAGTTGCAGGTAGCAGGGCTTGAGGAGATGTGGGACAAACCACAGCAGTTGGAAGGTGGAGATGAGCCAGTGCACAAAGAACTGGAGTCCCAGCGTGAATCCTCAAGGGATCAGTTAGAAGAGATTAAGAATTCAGAGATCACAGAGAATAATGAAAGTAGCAAAGGAGATAACCTGTCTGAAGGACACTTGTCAGAACTGGGGCTCTTCAGTGGTGATGAAGGCATGTTGGCTAAATATCTGATTTCCACGGGAACACCAGAAGACTCCTATGCATCCAGCACTTCAGAAGGTCATGCCATCGAGGAGGGTAGATGCAGTACGTATGGGCTAGACAACAGTGTGCTTCCAGAACCCAGCACAGGTTTTATATCTCCTCCATTGAACTCTAGCCTTGATGAGGGAACATGTCCTAGTGCCTTGGCTCAAGAAGCTTTTGAAGAGGTGGGAGCAGAGGCGTTTGTTTCGTTTGTGCCAGATAATCGCCTGCAGGAAAACAAACTAAGAGACCACGGTGACGTAAAGGATGGTGAGACAGTGTGTTCAGCAGAGAGGTGTGTGAAGCTAATTGAGCAGCTCCATCAGACGGAGTCAGCCTTGAAGATAGCTTATCAGGACACCCAAGAAGCTGTTGGAAAATGGGAAAAAGCAATGTCTGAGCTCTCTCATATGCAGGCAGAACTGGAGGAAGAACATGCAGCGCGGATCTGTTGTGAAAAACAACTTCTGGAAAAAATGGAGAAGGAGAAAGAACTTGAAAATAAACTCATGTTTCTAGTAAAGCAGCAGGGTGAGGGTGGAGGCCAGCCTCACTGTGCTGTAGAGTCCCTGGCACAAGTGTCAAAACCCTCTATCTGGCAAGAAATGGTGAAGGACCTCCAAGAGGAAAGAGAAATGTTGATGATGCAGCTGCGAGCTCAGGAGCAATTAGTGAAAGACGTTCAAGAGCAGAAAACGGCTTCTGATTCTGTGACAAGCGAAGTGCAGTCTCTCTTTGGCCGTCAGTTGGCTGCTTTGCAAAGTCAAAGGGATCAGATGCAAAGCCAGCTTGATGCGCAGAAGGCTAAAAACCAGAGAATAGCAGAGCTGCTCGGGCAGAAAACTGTATCTGAGGAGACGTTGCTAAAAGAACAGGAGTTGCTCAAAGCTGAGATCAATAATAAAGAACAAAATTTAGCACTTTTATTGAAGGAAAAAACAGCCTTAGGAGAAAGATTGTCTGCCGTGGAGGAGGATTTGGTGAAAGCAGAAAAAACACTTGCGGAGAATGCTGGCATCATTGAGGACCTTGAGAAAAACATACATGACCTTAATGCTGAAATGAAAAACCTCAGAGAACTACAGGAATGTGAAAGACTGGGCTATGAGGACAGGTTAAACCTTTGCAACCAAGAAATTCATAAACTTACTGCTGAAATAAAGGAAAAGAGTGCTGAATACAGTGAGGAAAAGAGCCAGTTGACTGAAGAAATTGCCCATTTGAAAGAGGCTCATTTGAATCTCGAGGCTCGCTTGCGGGAATCCTTTCAGGCTGCAGAAGCTGCACAGGAGGCTCAATCCAAGGTGGAGAAACATTACAAAGAGGAAATGGATAAAATGGCCACTCAGCACCTTGCTGAATTAACTGAAGTGAGTTTGACACACAAGAGAGAGGTAGGAAACCCTGGTAACTGCAGGAGTCGTGAGATTTCGTAATGCTTAAGGTTGCCATTGCAAATGTGTGTATGCCTGTTTTCAGATAGAAGAGTTAAATGCTGAAATAAAAGATAAAGTGGAAAAACAGGAGAAGCTGGAAGAAAAAAGAAAGGAAGAGATTGCTGTAATAAAAAAGGTAAATGCTGTAATTGGGTTTATTTTGGAACAATAAACTCGTTTTGCATTGCCATTTAAGCAGCATAAACATTTTGGAGACGCAAAAATGTATTAATTTTGTTTTTTCCTGTGATGTCTTTGATTTGGGGTCAGGAGGAGGGGAGAATTCTGATCCAATAATTAGGGCTAAACAACCGTACTTTGAAGAAAGGAAGCTTTTCATCTGCCTGTTCTCTGCAGGTACATGAACGAGAGCACGATCGTGAAATCTCTGAACTGGCTGCTAAACACGAAGAGGAAATGGAGAAACTCCGTGCTGAACTGAAGGAAGAGCAGAAGCACCTGTTGGATGAACTTCGGCAGCAAATGGCAGCCACACACAAAGCAGAGCAGGAGCAAGCTCAGCTCCAGTCCCAGGTAAAAGGAAGAAACAAAGTGATTGCTGTAGTACTGACCTGAGGTTTCAGGATCTCCAGGAGGCACAGAAATCAAGGAGCCTTCTCCTTTAATTTCTGTGGGAATTGCGTGCGCTCTTTCACGTAGTGCTGCAACTGAAGAAACAGAGGTTGTCTCTTGGTGGGTGGTTTTAGATGTTTCCTAGAGGAGTTCTCCAGGGTCCTCACTGCCGTTATATTTTAACGTTAATTCTGAAGAAAACTTAATTACTTAAATTGATGGGTTTAAGGAAGAAAAACAACTAATTTTTCAAGTCTCGGTAAGTTTAACAAGTGAATTTAGGAACAATACTAAGCCCCACCCACTTTTAACTGTCCCATTAGTATAATCAGGAATGCTTTCTTGCATCTGAAGTATGAAAACTTGACTTTTTTCCTCTAGATATTTACTGGGTCTTTTAACACCTCCACTAAATGCAAAGTGGAAATGGAAAGAACATGTCCAGCGTTAGGTCTAATTACAAGCTGTTGGTATACTGGTTAGGTTAAGAATTGAGAAGTTTGGTTGGTCTGTTTTAGCTGCCATTTCTAAATGTTGGCTATTCCCCCCTTTTTTTTTTTTAATGAAGTGCGATGAATTTTATTTCTACTTTTCCAATACCACTTCAGAATTTTAATTTTTTTAACAAATTATAACCAGTAGCAAATATAAGGAATTTTTTTAATAGGCAGTGAAGGATTGGGGTGAGCTGGTGTGTGACAAAAGTCAGCTTCTTTTAAGTGTTCTTTTAAGGGTCTCTGCCACAAAGAAAACACTCTCCAGGTACAAAGGGAAAACTTAGCTGTGTTTAACAGCTGAAACTGAAACTGGTCATGAAAAAAGCGAGCACATTTCCTTAGAGGGGAGGGAGAAACCCTTCTTTTCCTCCATCACAGACACTGCACAGCCTTGAACTGGAAGCTTTACGCCTGACCTTAAACAATATGCACACTTCCCAGCTGGAGCTTACGCAGGCAAACCTGAGGAAAGAGAAGGAGACTGCCCTCGTGGAGCTGCGGGAGATGCTCAACGACAAACGTGCGCAGGAGGTGGCGATCCTGCAAAGCCGCCATCAGCTGGAGTGGGAGAAGATCAGAGAACAATGTCTGAAGGAAAAAGAAGACCTGAAGTCAAAGCATCAGCAAGAACTAGGTATTAAAATTGGGGAATAATGGCCCAGTATTTTCTCCCTGCACGGTTTCCTGACTTGGTGTAGAGCTGCCCTTTGAGTGACAGCTGGTGTTGCCTTGAATAGAGACAGGGGGTTGGACTGCCACGTGCAAGGGTGCACGTTTTGCACGTGAAAATAAAGTTGTGCAGACACAAGTTTAGCTTTTTTTCATCTGTATGAGTGTTTTGCTGTGTTCTAAACTGAACTAGTTGCTTTCAGGAGGCATTAGACCAAGCTCTCATAAAGAACTAAATCAGTGCAAAGAGTAGAGCTCTTACCCCTTTTGCTTCTTCTGGAGTTTTCTTTCCCTAGGTCAGTACTACCAGTGTCTTTCCGAGAAAGCTTCCTGGCTTTCCCTCTCAGTGGTTTCAAAAGGAGGATAAAGGAGTCGGAAAGGAAGCTCAGTGACAGCCTGTAGTTGTGTGTCCTTTGGGATCTGTTTCATATAAGATTGTATTCTGGCATCAGCATGAGGAAAGCTGCACTTTGCAGTACTGAAGGCCTGCTGATGGTGCTCTTGGCATTGTTTGGGAAATTCGCCTCTTCCCAGGTCAGGAGACCATTTCTGACCTGTATGGCAGAGCTTGAGGAATTTCTGGAGAAAGATGAGTCTTGCAGCAATTCACTAGAGAACTTTACAGAATCACAGGCTGGTTGGGGTTGGAAGGGCCCTCTGGAGATCATCAATTCCAAACCCCTGCTAGAGCAGGTTCACCCACAGCAGGTTGCACGGGATCATGTCCAGCTGTGTTTTGAGTGTATCCAGAGAGGAAGACTCCACAACCTCTCTGGGCAGCCTGTTCCAGGGCTCTGTCACCCTCACAGTAAAGAAGTTTTTCATCGTATCCAGATGGATCCCTGGAGATCACGGCTACCTGCAGGCCTCCAGCTAGACTCTGCGCTGCTGATCACACCCCACTGAGCTCTGAAATAAGGTTTAGGACCCATTCCTTTAGTTGTCCTTCCCGAAGAGGAAGAGAACATTCATTTAGGGCTGTTTCTTTTTGACCCAAGAGTAGGAAACCATTTGTTACCACCATGCAGTGAACTGATGGCACAACGGGGCTTGGGAGCAGGAGGAGGTCTAGATACAGTTCTTAGTATCAATGCTGTTGATGTGCCTTTTGGCAATGTAACTTAATATGAATGTAACCATGTAGATGTAGAGGCTGAGAAGAATCTGGCATCAGGTGATGCAGGAGGCTTGGTGGGAAGTTGTGGTACTGTTACCTGGGCAGCTAGAGGACAGATGTTTCTCTTCAGAGAGGCAAAGATTAGACATGACCCAACTTGTTTGAGTGCTGGGACAGTGTCTTGTAGCTTAGATGATATTTCTGCCTCTCCTGGACCATTAGCTGGCACCAGCTTAGTCTCCAAGCTGGAATGAATCTGGGGAAGAGCTGGGGAGGAAGAAGCCATTGGTGTCAGAGATAACTGAGCAGATAATGGTATCTGTGTTGCAATTTGTTTCCTAGGCATTCATAGAAGAAATTTGATGTTTCCTACCTGCTACTGCTGCCTGCTACTCCTGCTGTGTCCCTGGAGACGATTCTGTGATCGTAGTGATGTGCAGGGAAACGCTAAAATGGCATCACTGAATTCCTATCTTTAGGATTTTATTTTCTTTTAGTAACATGTTCTCTGTAGAGCTAAGCAGGCTTTGCTAAATAAACTGAACTTTACCTTCTGAATTGCCTTTGCAGCTGTAACTGCTAGATGCTTGTTTTCTAAAATGAAAGTGAATTACTGGGATATAACAGAACAGCAGGTTTGGATAGAACCCAGCACCTTACCCTGCTGTGTGCCTGCCTGTTTAAGTCCTTGAATTTGATGCTGAAAATTGCAATCTCATCATATTTCTACTTATCATTTAATCATAACATTTTATGTAAATTTATTGATAAGTATTTTATTTCACAGTTGACCAGAGAAAGAAAATAGAATTGGAAATGGAAGAGGCACATCTCCAGGCATTAGAGGTACAAATTCTGTTCTTCCTACAAGAAATAGTAAAGCTCCTTTCAGAAAACAAGAGCTGGTACAAGTCCCATATCTGCTACACATTTATTGTAAAGGGCAAATAAATGGAGGGGAAAAAAAAGTAATAATTTACGAAACATTGTTTACTTTAATAATGTTGTCTTACTCTCTTAGATCCTCAAAAGAGCCTGGGAATTAGAGTCTGACACACGTTTAAAAAACATGTGTGAAGAGCTATGTGAAAAACATCAGACCGAGATGATGGAACTGCAGAAATCTCTGGAAATGGATTTAGAAAAAGTCAGAGCAGAGCTGGGGCTTCTTTCTGTTGAGAATGAACAGTCTAAAAGTAAGTACTGTGGTCTGGAAAGCAGTTGTTTTACTGAACAGTGGCACAGTCGAGTGTTTTGCAACATGTATAAAAGCAAATACAAGATATATGCGTGTACTGTTACTTAAAAGCTGGGACGGTGGCATGACTGTCTAGAAAACAGGTTGTAAATGAAAAATTTTTTAAAACCGAGGTAGCATTGTTGCATTTTGACTTCCACAGAATATGAGGTAGAAACATATTAAAGGGAGGTGCTTTTTTGCTTCCAGTTGAAAACCAGTTTTGACAGTTTCTGGATTAATCAATATTCTGATTAATATTAATAGAAGCTTCTTTTAACAAAAAAATCACGTTTGGATTGTGAATAGTTAAAGCTCAGTGGAACAAAAGTTTCAAAAGCTGGCTGTCTCTTGGCCAGCAGTGTGGGATGCAGAGACCTAGAAAGCACTGCGTGGAAATGTTTGACCTTCAAATACTTTGCTATTGAAGTATTTCCGTGATTCACTGTAAACTAACATGCAGGCTAGAGACATACATGTGTATTTTTGTTGCACAAAAGCTGGACAGGTTATTCATTAACCAGGATGATGGAGTAACAGAACTCATTTTTAATTTTAGTAAAATGTATAGAACTGGAGAGGCAACACCAGTTAGCCATTACAAAATTACGAGAACAGCTGCAGGCTGAGCATAACCATGTCCTAGAAGAGATGAAGATGAAAAGCCAAGAAAAAGAACAGAATCTTCAGAAGGAGGTAAATTACATTTCTTTAGTTGTTTAGAGTGGTTGAGTACTCTCTGCATAACAAAAACTAGACCATATACATGTCATTTGGGTGACCTGCTTGTATTTAGGGATGTTACTGAAAAACCAAAATGCATCTCATGAAGCAGGTAGATCCTCTGAGTTTCCATAGGAGTTCAAAACCTTTGGAATGCAATTGCCTTTGGGCCATTAGGTGCTGTCTCTTCCTCTGTATTTATATGCTTAATTTTCTCTTTCCTGTGTTGTGTTTTTATCTAGCTAACGCTTTTATTTTTTGCCAGTGAAGATAAATATGGCATCAGGAACAAATTCCTCCCTCTCAGAGGTGTGGGTGTAATAGTTAAGTACTACTGACTATGTGATACTGTCAGGAGCTGAGAGTCTGCTTGTCACTAAGTGTTTCCACCTATTTCTGACACAAGTGTCTGTTGCATATAAAGTAAGCAATTAGAACAGAATTGTTTAAAAAGTCGTGGTTTGTTGTTTGTTTTTTTTTTTTTTTTTTAACATGTTTTCTGTAGCTGGACCAACTTCAGGTCAAGCATGAACAACTCCAGGCTCAGTCACAAGAAGAAATCCGGCAGCTTTGGTCTCAGCTCGACAGTACCCGAGCGAACCGACAGGAGCTAAGTGGTACGTTCAAAACTGACACGTTTGATCTTTTGCCTCTTCTCCACACAGAAGTACACATTACTGACACAAAATTCTTCTAAGTATGTACCAGAAGCACACAGATAGGCCACGGTGTCGGTGGGTTGTACCCCAGTGGTCTGTTTCTGGAGCGAGGGGTGAGTCAGTGCCAGATGACAGGTTCTGCAAGTGTCAAAAAGCATGGTGTGACTGTGGGGAAAAGCTTGCTCCTGTGGTTTTCCTTTCCCTTCCCACTCCCTTCCTGCACACTATAAAAATCTTTAGTGAAAACCAAACATCTTTCATTGGAATGTCAAATTAGGTATAATGTAGTTAAAAACTGGAGAAGATCTGGTCAGTGCAATAACATGCTCCTATTTGTATTTCTGTTTCAAGATCCAGGTGTATTAAATAAAACAGCCGGTTTTGCAGTCTAGTGATTGTAGGTGACAGGTTTTTGCTTGAAATGAAGATGGACATGTCTCAGATGTGTGTGCACAAGGAGATGTGTAATACATGAAAGAAGAACTTTCAGAAAAATAAAAAACCTAGAGACCATGAGTTAACCTTGACTCTGCCTCTGTTCACCTTGTGTTGAGACTGTGACATGAGGTTCTTGACTTCTGCTGGGGTAGTTAAAACAGAAGGCACATGTAATGTGCTTCAAATAGAGTTTCAGATTTTCTGAATAATATAACTGTAAATCGCTTTTGAAGTATATTAGGGTTTTGTGAGGTTATTGTTTGTTTGTTTAGGTCATACATTAAAAAAATTTCTATCTAGCCAGACTTGACTATTTCATAACTTTATTTTGATATTACAGAATTATAGCACATAGCACTTTATAGTACTTACTGGAATATTTCTTCTCTGTAGCTCTAATCTTTAACCTTTCAAATGTCTTTCCATGTTTGTAATCACTCACATTCCCATTCTTTGGACGCTTTCTGTTTCTTCATCTTACTTGAAGATGGTGAGACCAGAATGCAGGCCTGTGGTCCAGGTGAGGATCTCTCTTTTGGTGTGTGAGATCTTAGTGTTTGTTTTGCTCTGCTGTTCTTCACTTGAGTGATCATTTGACAATGCGTTTGCACTGATGGGGGACTCCTGGTGGTGGATTCAAATCATAGCAGCTGGATCATGGATTACTGCTCTGATGTAAGAATGACATGTCAGTTCAAAGCTGTTAAACACTTTTTTGGAGGGTTAATTTTGTGCCAGTAGACTTTGCTGGTTAGGCAAAACCTACCCATGGCAGATTGAACTTCCTTTACCTATCTTATTGATGATGTTACCAGTCCCTTCTTGTCACTTGATTTCCGCTTCCACCGGTCCCCATGCCTGGCAACTGCTCCCTTTGGAAGCAGGCCTGAGCCATGGACTTGCTTCACGGAATCGTGGAATCATGGAGAGGTTCGTGTTGGAAGGGACCTTAAAGATCTTCTCGTTCCAACCCCCTGCCATGGGCAGAGACACCTTCCACTAGACCAGGTTGCTCAGGTCCAACCTGGCCTTGAACACTTATTTCTTCTCTTACTCTTTCTATTTGAATGTTCATTATGAGAATTCTTTCCTTTCAAGTGTGCATTTTCTGGCTTGCTACAAAAAAACCACAGTGTGACAGTCAGCTGTGTTGCTCCTGGATGGCATCCTCTGTTTCTGTTACTAAAGTTTCTCTTTTGTGTAATATAAGCAGCTGCTTTTCTCCAAGCAAGTTCTTTCTTTTCAAAGAATTTCACCAAGTTCTTTCTGCCTGAAATGCAGTTCCCTCTTCAGTTGATTCTTTGGGGATTCAGCGAACTGTAGTTATTTGGAAAGTTGGGCTATCTGGAAAACTCTTCCTCATGGTTTTTGTCCTTTTTTTTCCCCCACCTTTTAACTTTCTGGTATGTTACTGCTGCTTTAATACAGAAGGTGGGGAAGAAAGCTCTCAGAGGGCTGTTGAATAGGCTGCAGTGCTGGCCATTGTCCTCGCTCCCTGGAAGGGGGGCAGCTTGCTGAACCAGCCTTTGATAGCTGCTTTCTGCTGCATTCCTGTTTTGTTGGATGGTTCTTCTTAATTCAGTGAGTTCAGCTTCTGTTTGTGCACACGATGAGCAGCCAAACCATCAATGAAGTAATCCAGAATTGATTTTATTATTTTTATTTCTCGTGATTTTTGTTTTTCTGCTTAGTTTGTGCTAAAGTTTGTTCTGTTTGGGTAGTTTTGTCTGGAGCAAATTAAATGACTTCGACTAATTCACTGCTTCTGGGTGCTACAACAAGCAGGTGTGAAGTTCAAGCAATAGTGCAGGGCTCTGCATGTTACTAGACTAGAGCTGCAGGAAACAAGGAGGACTAGCAGTCTTGCTGATAATTTTGATTCTCATCGTGAGGATGGTTTCTCTGAATGCAGTGTAAATGAGAATGTGACTTCAGAGGAAGAAATGTTTTGTCTTTCAGAAGTTCATTTTCTTACGTAGCTTGTGGGATAACTTTTTGCTGCTGTCTAAGTGTCCCGGTTCCAGCCGGGACAGAGTTATTTTTTTCAGTAGCTGTGAGGGGGCAGAGCCTGGAGGTTATTCTGGAGGCTGTGAGGTTATTCTGTACCACATCAGATCATTGCTGTGGGCAGGGGGAAGGGACTCTCTGGCTTCTGAGAAGAAGGATGTGATGGAAAGGGGAAGCTGCCCACCATTTGTTAATTGTCACCCCAAGTCCACCATGAACCTGTTTTCCATGTGAATCATCCTCTCCTTTGTACACTTTTGTTATTAATATTGTTGCTGTTACTGTTAGTTTTCTTACCTCACTGCTGTTTCCAGCAAATTGTTCTGATCTCAACCCATGATCTTACCCCTTTTGTGCCTCCCACTGGAGAGGGACGAGAGGGGAGCAGCTCATGGTCTTTTTAGTGGGAGTACTAAATTGGGGGGTACCGTTCCTAAACCGCTACACTCAGCAACTAAATCTGACCTTTACAGAATTACTTAGCCTAAAGATATGTATTCTTAGTGCTTGTGTTGGTTTTGCCTCCATTCCAGAGCTAAAAGAGCAGCTCCTGGCTCGTGCATCACAGGTAAAGGAAATAGAGCGTTTAAAACAAGAGTTTGAACAGCAGCGTCAGCAAAGAAACAACGAGCATGAAGCTCAACTGGAACAACTGAGGCTTTATTTTGAGGAGAAGTTAAGAGTTGCTGAAGAAAACTACAGAGAAGAATTGACTTTGTTGCATCAGAGACTGCAAGAACTGAAGGACTATTCACTGTCGGAGTTGGAAATGAGTCAAGATCAAGCAGGGGACATCAGGTGATCTATTCTTTTTCCTTTCGTCCCATGCAATGACAGCATGCTTCCATTTTATTTTTTTTAATACAAAAGAGGATGTTAGCCTCTAAACATCCTCAGACTGAGCATTAGGTAGTTAGAAACGTAGTGATGGATGTGATGAGGGCCCAGCCCTGAGCAGTTGTTGTAGTTGCTTTTTGCCTACTTTCAGTAGTATGCTGCAAGTCATCAGGTTAACTTAATTCATGACATGTTACAATCTTAAAAACTTTAAAACCCTTTTCTCAGTTCTTCAGTCACAGTGTTTGAAGATACTGCTGACAAAGAGAGAAGAGTTGCACTTGATCAGCTAAATCAACATCAGGTAGGATTTTGATATACTGAAAGTTCTGTTGTTCATTATATGACCTGTGTGAACATAGATGTCTAATTCCTTGCTCTTACAAAGAGTTAATTAATTTCAGACGTTTAGTAAGGCTTAATTATTTTTGACAAGTATATTTTATTGACTTAAAATAGTTCTCAGCCCAGCAGGACAGATCAAACAGTGTTCTGTAATTTTATGTGTTTTATGTGCTTTTTGGCTTATCCTGTAACGAGTAAGGAACTCATCTACAAAGCTCTTCTACACAAGTGCAGAATTGTTGTTTCTCTTCTCTATAGTCCTGGTAGTAACTGTGCCTTTCTTTGCTGTCTGTTCTCTTCAGACCAAGAGGCTAGCTCGGTCCCTCTTTCATTTATGCACCTATTTTCGTGCACCTTGTTGTAATTTAAGATCTCGACATCTTTGGTCAACTTGTTTCAAGTTGACTAAGTTTCAAAAAGGAATTTTCCTTCCTCTCATTGACAGATTTCTTTCATGGTTTCTTGAAAGCTAAAGATCTCTTCCTAACCCTTTACTTGTAGGAAGAACTTACCTGTCTGCAGCAACAACTTAAAGAACAACACAGGCATGAATTAGATTCCTTAAGATCCTCCCTTACACTTCAGTATAAAGAGGACCTGATGAAAATGAAGATGGATCTGTCAGACAAATGCATGACAGAAATTGAGGCAATGAAGAGAAAGCATTGTTTAGAACTTGAGCAGCTCCGTGCCCAGCTTTCAGAAGAACATTTTAAAGGTAAGATGGTCTGATAGAGTGGGAAGGAAAATGGTAAGCCGCTTGTGTGGCATATATTTTTCTTTAAACAGATTTATCTGTTTAAATTTGTTATTATCGAGCACTTATGGGCATGTTGAGTTGTACTTCCAAAGATGTGGTGATCTGAAGTTGTTTATTCTGTAGTAAAAACTACTAAAACTGTAAAAGGATCAGCTTTCCATTTTTGCTGCCTAGAAGGGCACTGTCACACAAAGACTGGGATTTAAAATCCGTAACTTACAGTTAGCTAATTAACACATATTGTTATAACCATAATTCAACTGTATGTTGGTTGAAAGGATCAGCAGAGTTTTTTAATTCGCAGTTATCTTTATTTATTTTTAATAGTGGACAGTATGTCAAAACCGCTTAAATTAGAACGTTTAGAGATTGTCCCATCTGATTTTTGGGGAAATACTTTATGTAAATAGTATGTACAAAAGAGGAGATGAAACCTCCATAAATCTGCTGTTACACTGCCCAAAAAGAAAGTCAGCTCCTGTGGCTGTTGCAGATAAGGAGGGAGGACTGGCCGCAGGATTTATGATTGTTCTGTGTGTGTTGATACTGATAAATTCCATAGGTGGTGATAAAATAGAACAGAGTATAAAATCATCCTGATATGGGATTCTTGTTGTCCTGTAGTTAGCCTGGGTAAAGCTGACAATATTCAGCTTTATTTCTGTGCATTAGCAGGATCTGTTAAAAATAAAATAAATTCCAGAATGTCATTTCATTGTCTGGTTTGGGTTTTTATTTTACTTTTTTTTTTTTTTTTTCTTTCCAGAGATCACCAAACTGCGTCTCCAGAGTGCTCATGATGCAGCATGTCAGGTTGAAATGGAGGTGGCTGAGCGAGTGTCTGTGCTGGAGGAGGAGCACAAAGCCAAGCTCTCTCTCCTCAGCTCTGAGAAACAGCGCATTGCAGAGCTTTCAGAGGAAATAAAGCGCTTAAAGGAAGAGATTGTAAAGCAGAAAGATTTTTCTGAGCAGAATGAGAAGCATCTGAAAGAAGAAATGGAAAAGGTTAATTTGTGTTACAGAACGGTTTGGTGTAGATTTGGGCAGGCTCAGATCTGTTGGGAGGGCTAAGGGAGGCAGAGGCAGCACTTCCCTGGGTTAGGGATAGTGGCTTCAGCTTTAAGTGGACTTGCCTGGATACACACAAACGTTGGAATACAAGTCTGTTTTGGTGTAGCTCTTGTACCTTCCTGTTCAAAGTCTTAGAGTTGAGAGAATTCTACGTAGTACCGTCCCTCTTACTGGTTAAATCAGCTGTCCCATCTGAGGATAACCTTAAACTGGATGTTAATTAGTTGTTTAATCTGTTGCAGTATTTGAATGCTAATGAGAATTAGATAGATTAAGCTCTTATTTCTCAAGTCTTCCTCTCCTCCCTTTTTAAAAAGATGGATAAGTGTATCCTTTTCCAGACTTAAAAAACGATGAAGAAAACCAGAGAAAGTCTTTTTTTTTTTTTTTTTTGCCTTCTTTCATTGAACAATCATTTGCTCAGAAGCTTTGGCTTCTGTTTTTATGCTACATGCTTTTTATGTGGCTTTTGTGTTATGTCCAAGAACTGCCCTTGTCATGAACTTGGACACTACATGGAAAATACCACTGGAATGTAGAAGGAGAAGTTTAAAAGAGAATTTTATTCATACCCAGTATAAATACCTAAGATGCCCATAGCTGTATAAGTTGAACTCCTGAAAAGAAGTGACCTCAAGAGAAAACAATGTAGAGTACCATATTAATGCTAGAATTTTGCCTTAGTTTTTTTCTTATCTTCCTTACCCCAATTATTTCTCAAAAATGCATTCAATTTAATGCAGGTCAATTCATAAATTGCCATTTCAGCCTTACTTTTATTAGGAAGGGTTACTTCACTACAAGAATTGAATCTCTCCAGGACCTTAAATGCCTAAGAATGTTCACTTCATGCACTATGCACTTCAGTTTGGTTTCGGTGTTTTATTCTTTTTTTTTTTTTTTAATAACTGCGTTCACAGGTGAAATACGAAATTGGTGAGGATCACAAGAATAAGTTAAGAGAAGCCAGAGAAGAAGTCCAGAAAATAGAGACTATGTACAGAGAAAAAGAGAAGAAGTGGCAATGCGAAAGTGAGGCCCAGAGAATCCAAGCAGAAGAGAAGTTATCGCTGCTGCGCGTCGAGCTGCAAAACAGAGCAGAATCTGAGAGGCAGAGTTTGCAAAGAGAGTTTGAACTTCGTGAAGCTGAAATGAATCAACTTCGAGATCGCCAAGCTGCCAGAATTCTGGAGCTGGAGAAGCTGGTGAAGGAGCAGCAGAACAACTTGCAGCAGCTGGAGGACAGCCTTGTGAGCGCGCAGGCTGCGCAGAAAGCCCAGCAGCAGCACGAGGCCGACCTGCAGGCAGCCAAAGCCCTCATGGCAGAGGAAATGGAAAAGGCCACGCTGTGTCTGCAGGAAGAATGTGCACTGAAACTTATGGAAGCACAAAACAAGTAAGTCCAGAGTGTGTGAGCAGTTTCCCTTACCGGTTCACTCGTTGTTACAGTTACTTTTTCTTATTTTAAACTTAATGAGTGGTAGTGGTGTAGATTTGTCACTTGATGGCACTAACTAACTTACATATGTAAGGCTTGCTGTCCCAAGGAACAGGAATGCCGTCTATTATGGCTTGCTCTGTAATTTTGCTTTGTGTAAATGCATTTCATCTAGTCTAGCAGAGAAAACATAGTCAAGTTCTGCCTGTTAAGAGTACAACACCCGGCTGAAAATCATATGCCAGGCTTTGAAGACAGGAAGTGTGACAGGACATATAAGTAGAAAAATTCTCTAAATATTTTCAAACAATTCAAATGAATTTGAGCAAGCTTTTTGTGGTGAATGAAGCTTGTGCTAACTACTGAATGCTGAGGTTGATATGGCCCCCTCTGGTATTCTTTAGTTCTGGTTAGATGTGAAGGCTGGAACTACTGGTTTTCTTCCCTTTCCTGCACCTGTTTTGTAAAGTGTATTACAGAAAATATTCGAGCAACCACGTGTTTGTATCTGCATGCATTGCTTCAAATATATCACTTCTTTCCTCCTCAAACACATGCTCACAGAACAAGATTGGAGAGATAATGACAGTAAGAAAACACTGAAAGCAGAAACTTAACTTTTAGATAATTGATTGCTCTTTAGTTATTGGTGTCTGCATCCAGAAATACCATAGTTACTGATTACAGCAAGTGGCAGCACTTTAGACAGTTAATTTTCTGCATCAAGCTTTGAGGAGACCTCAGAGAGATGAGTTTGGAGGAGCCCCCACGTATCCCACATAATGCTCCCATGGTGGTTTTATGTCTGTCTTTAGCAGAAGTTTTTAGAGGTGTTTGTTATGACAGTGCCTTGAGGGCAACATATTTGAGAGGTAGCAGTGTATATACCATGTCCTAGATGCTCTCATGTGGCAGTGTTTTAGTTTTAGTAAGTTAATAGGGGTCTCTCTAGTAATAACCAGATACTACCAAGTGACATTGCAGAAACCTTTAATTATGTGGCTATGAAATCGTTGTTGTGGCTTGCTTTGAATTTAGTTCTGTGTTTGAGCATAAAGGAAAACTTGTGGAGGCCAAGTAGGATCTATTTATTTTCCTTTGATTTTTATTTATTAGTTCAATTATTAAAAAAACCCAAGCAGTGCCTTTTTGACAATAGTTTCTTAACTTTCTTGGAAATAATACAGGTTTATGGAGGAACACAAAGCTATGACTCAGAAATTCACAACTGAGCAAGAGATTCTTCTCCAAGAGCTGAAAAAGAAACATGTGGATGAGCTGGAACTCCAAAGTCAGCACCTACAGGAAAAGCATAAGCAGCAAATTTTGTCTCTGACAGCTGATTTTCAAACAAAACACCAAGCTGAAATTGAGGCTCTTAAATCTACACTGGAAAGTAAACAGCAGATTCAGCTTGAAGGTTGTGTTGCTGAACTACAGACAAAGCATCAGGCCCAAATTGATGAGTTGGAGGCTAAGCACTTATCAAATCTGGATTCCTTGGAGTCGTCCTACCTGTGTGAAATTCAGAATATAAGAGATGAACATAGTCAGACTTTGGAGAAGCTGCAGCTGCAGCACATGGAACAGCTCCAAGAACAGGATAAACTGCATCAAGCACACCTGGTCCAGGAGATTGAGATGCTGAATTTAAAGCATGCTGAAGAACTTCAGCTTTCCCAGAATAATTTGAAAATTGAGCTAGCTACTGTTCATATGGAAAAGCTTAAAGCCATGGCTGTTGAAGCAGAAGAAGCTCATAAGGTGAGTCAGAAAGAAAACCTGGCATAGAAGGTGAAATTCCGTGGTAAATTGTGTGGGATCACCTTTTCCCTTGTTCTCAGGGTACGTTTCTACGCCCTCTTTGTGCCAGCACTGACACTTGTGTGTGGCCGTATTGAGAGCTGAAATAGGAAACTCCAGCTGAAAATTAAGCCCATCTGTTGCCTCCTGCCCCAGATGCTCACTCTAATGAGTTTTGTATCTCAGTGTGTGGAAAAGGTACAAATGAGGTAAATCTTTCAGCAGAATTCAGACCCGAAAGTCTCCGTTTTGTGGTTCAGAGCTTCTCTCCCTGACAGAGTTACCGTGTTATTCTTCAGAAGGTGATTAGAAAAAAGTAAATGTAATCCTGGAGGTTAAGCCACATCTCTAGGAATCTAAAGATCCTCCCTAATAAGTAAGGGATTTACAAAACTTTTACTAGACAAGAAAAATAAACCCATTTAAATGCTGTAGAGGGTGTGTGTATGTATGTGTGCTCATCATTCACGAGGCAGTATTGTTCCTGTTTACTTAGAAAAGCTTTGATACAGGAGGAGAAGCTGGACATGTGTTGTACAAAGAGGTTGCAAAGATATTTGTAATGATTTCTTCCCCCCCTCCCCTTTTTTTAATTAATGCTTGCACAGGATGATTTGAACATAGCTCTTCAAAATCAGAGGCAGTTGCTGGAAGAAGAAAAACGTCTGGCTCTGGATCTGTTGCGTGAGGAAGTATTGCACATGGAGGAAAAGCACAGAAAGGCACTCCAAGAGCTTCAGGATCTTCATGAGGCAGAAATTAGGAAACATAAGGAGGAGTACTCCAGGGAGCTGGAAGGAGAATTGGGGAAACTAAAAGCACAGCATGAACATGAGCAAGAGGTCAGAATGTCGCGAATACCTAAAACCAAAATAATCCATGCTTTATCTTAAAGTAAATTCAGGTTTTATTAACCTTAGAAATAAGATGCTTCTGGGGTTTTTTTAATAGTGCCAGTAGATATGAAGAGACAAATTTAACATTTTTAGACCTTGCTTTATCCGAAAGGACTTAAGGGAATTTGTGTATGTGTATTAGACTTATTTTTTTAAAAAAAATTTAAGCCCGTGTTTGCAGTACTCTCTTTATGGGGCTGGGCTGGGCTTGCTTTCTTTTGAGATCCTGTCATATTTAATTCAAAATTTTAAAGCTGCCATTTTGATTTAAAACTAGTAGGGAATAATTTAGGTCATTAACCATTTGTGGAAAGCAACTGCTTTTTAAGTAAAAATTCGTTGCTAACATTTATTTCTCCTAACTGATTTCTTCTTTTCTTAGAGAAATTATAGTAGGTACTACTTTTCCAAATGTGATTTCTCAGTGAGGTTGAGAAATATTCCTATTTGCTCTTAAAGCTTTGCCATTTCTTCTTGTTGGGAATGTTTATGTGTAAGGTTGATGTTTACTTTGATACTGAATGCTAAAAAGATTGATTATTACGCTAAGTTCTCTTTAAGCATCAAAATGGAATTAAGATCTTCTGTTCACTCAGGTTTTTATGCAGTCTGACTTATGTGCATGCAAGCAGCCATAAGTGATGAAGACTTTTCACTTTCCTGTGTTATATGTTACGTTCACGTAGTAGGCAAAGTCACAAAGAAAATGAGCTTTGTCCAGCTATAACCATGAAAAATATGTTAAAATACAATTAACTTTGGCTTTTTCACTTACTAATTTGAAAGTTGGATAGTGTTCCAAATAACTCTCAAATCACTTTTGGAAGAATAGGTTGCCTAGGAAGGTAGTCTTGTTTTCTGGGAGGTTCTAATGGTTACTCAGTCTTTAAGCTCTTCATTCTAGAAAGAGGATTTATGACCATTCTGATGACTACTTCTTAGAATAATAAGCAAAAAACCCCAAATGAACGAAAAAATCCTCAAACCTTTCTCTGTTGTATCTCATAGGATAATTGCATTAAATATAGCTGTGTACTGTTTGTTCCCATTTGAACAAGAGAAATCACTTCTTAACAAAATATACTCTCCCTGTGTTTCTCTCCTCCTCTTTCCTCCTTATTTCTTTGAATTTCTCTTGGGGAAGTATCTGTTGGAAAGAATAAGGAATACTTTATTAGTCTGATCTGATATTCTCGTGAATACAGGGTTGATATCTAATGCCTGGTTGCTTCTTATCTATTTTTATCAGCTTTCTTTTTTCTGTACTCAGCATGATGATAGAAAGAAGCCCTGTATGACCTTGAGGATTGTGAACATGCTTTTAAGAATTTGGTTGAGCTTGATGGGTTTAGTTTGGTTTTATTTTTTCCCTAATTCTAATACTATGGTCTAAAATACTTTATATTCCTTACTTGTCTACAGCTGTATGCTTCTGCATCGGCCTCTGAAGTAGAATCTGTGAGGAAAGCTCTTCTGGCTCAGTTTGAAGAGGTAAAATTGAAGCAGCAGCTTCAGTTCCAGGAGGAGATTGAGCTGTTGAAGTGTCAGTCGGAAGTGCTGCTGGAACAGCAGATTGCACAGCTGAAGGTAGGCTCTGGTGAAAATGCACTTCTGAGTATGCACTGGGAGAATGTTCTGCTGAAAAAGACCAACTGGTGTAAATTTCTGTTCTTCAGTGTCTAAAATGACGCTGAGTTAAGTCTTTTCCTTGCTTCACCATGTTAGAACTAGAAAGGTAGCATTGGAAAAAAGCAGTGTGATGCGAGCAGTTGTATTTACTACAGGGTTGTTTTCAGGTTCTGAATTGGATATGAAATGGTGCCCTTCAAACAAAACCAAAAAAATCAGTGGAAAATATTTGCTCTAAGCAACATTCCTTGTGTACATGTTCAATTTGTCATTTGAGACATTTTCTTCTTGGTGTCTGCAGAGACTTTGCCCTTGGCCTGTCATCCTGTGTCTGCTGCACTCTTGTGTGTTTGGCAAAAACATATTCAGTGTTATCTGAGCTTTAACTAAGTCTGTGATGACAGTGAGCTCTTTGTGTATGAGATATTTGTTGTTGTTAATCTCTGCTTTCACGGATTCATCATTTGAGTTCTAAACTTCCATCATGATAAGCATCTTCAAGATGTTTCCTACCTCTGACTTCTGTGTAGTCCTGACCGTTCCTTGACTTCGCTCTGTCTGGTGCAGCTCTCTTTTGAAACAGAGGACACAAGCGTGTCCTGAAAAGCTGCTGCAGGTGTATTTGACATTGCTGTCCTCAGCTGAACCCCAGCCTTCAGCTCACAGAAGCTGGGACCAGACTGAGTGTTATGCAGATACTCCAGAAGTGGTCTCTGCTTTTCTCTCTCTCATGCTGCCCTAATTAGCATTTGGGACACCAGAAACCTCACTTTTTGTTGAAATTTTGCCAGGGCTAATTCTCCTGCTGGTTCAGCTGTCTATGGATTCCCCCCACATGAGCTTAATGACCAGTGTTTTGTCTCAGAAGAGACTGGCTGGATCTATTTGGAATGTCAGGCTGAACTGCATTGTGTGCTGATGCATATTTTTACAAGTCCTCCCCTGCCCACTACCCTGTGCTCATTTATGCAGTTGTCTTCATGCCAGCCAGTTTCCTTCTTTCCTTCCCTCTGCCTTGCCTAGCAGATTTCTAGTATTCACAATTCCTCTCTATGGTCTGATATACTTTAGGTGGATCTGAGAATAACAGGCAGGCTGTTTCAGAGACTGTCTGCAAATTCAGCGTTCTAGGTCGAGGAAAGTCCTCCTACTCCTTTGTGTCTGTTCACTTTTTACCTTCTTAACTGCAAAGTACAGTGCAAGGACTGGCTCAGTCTCCTGCAAAGGATCAGGTGACTACATGTGCTCTGCTCTGAAGTCTTATTTCTTGCTCTGGGGAATAACTGTTTTCTTGACTTGCCAGTGTAAGAAATAGTTGGCTATCACCTTGGAGTGCGTTGGTGTTCATAGACAAAATTGCCAGAGTTTTTTTTTTTTTTTATACTGTGGTCATTTCCCAGTTCTGGTGTTGCAGAAACAATCACTGATCCGGGTTCCTTTTAGCCTCTTAGCTCAGCCTCTTCAGCATGTTCAGAGAAGGGCAATGGAGGTGGGGAAGGGTCTGGAGCACAAGTCCTCTGAGGATTGGCTGGAGGTGTTCAGCCTGGAGAAAAGGAGGGTTGGGGGGACCTTCTCACTCCCTACAACTCCCTGAGAGGAGGGTGTAGACAGGAGGTGGAGATCAGCCTCTTCTCCCAGGTAACAAGTGACAGGACCAGGGGAAATGGCCTCAAGTTGCACCAGGGGAGAAATAGATTGGGTATAAGGGAAAATTTCGTCACTGAAAGAGTGGTCAGGCATTGGAACAGGCTGCCTAGGGCAGTGTGGAATCATCATTCCTGGAAATGTTCAAAAAAAGCATGGATGTGGTGCTTAGAGACTTGGTTTAGTAGTGGGCTTGGGAGTGCTGGGTTAATGGTTGCATTTTGTGATCTTGGAGTGCTTTTCCAACCGAAAGGATTCTATGATTCTGTTTGGAAAGGGATAGCAGGACCTTGTTTCACCTCCCTTATTTGCTGATGCAGGAGTGGGCAATGTCTAATAATCCCTTCCTTCAGAGTGCTTTCACAGAATCATGTAGGTTGGAAAAGAACTCCAAGATAATTGAGTCTAGTCTGTGCCTGATCCCCACCTTGTCAACTCAAGAGGACTGAGTGCCACATCCAGTTGTTCTTGAATGCCTCCAGGAATGGGGACTCCGTCACCAACCTGGGCAGTCCCTTCTGTGAAAGCCTGAAAACCCTTTCTGTGAAGAAATTCCTCCTGATGTCCAACCTGAACCTCCCCTGGTACAGCTTGAGGCCATTTCTTCTTGTCCTGTCCCTTGTTCCCTGGGAGCAGATCCTGACCCCACCTGGCTACAACCTCCTTTCAGGTACTCGAAGAGAATGACAAGGTCTCCCCTGAGCCTCCTCTTCTCCAGGCTAAACACCCCCGGCTCCCTCAGCTGCTCCTCACAGGACTTACCCTCCAGACCCTTCCCCAGCTCCGTTGTTCTTCTCTGGACTTGCACTTCAATGTCTTTTTTGAAGTGAGGGACCCAGAACTGGACAGAGGACTCAAGGCACAGCCTCAGCAATGCTGAGTACAGAGGGATAATCACTGCCCTGGTTCTGCTGGCCACACTGTTCCTGATTTTGATCATAGTTTGAGTGTGATTTTGTTGACTGGGGGTGTTGACTGTGTAAGTCACTGCTGGTTAATCCAGGAGGTAAAGTGTGTACTTCTGAAGAGTACAAAAAAAGTAATGGGGGATGTTTGATTGGGGTTTTTCTGGGAGGATGGTGGTGGTGTTTGTGGTTTTGGGGGTTTTCTTTCCTCTCTCTGTAAATCCATGTGATTTCTGCAGGATGAATTTGAAGCTGAAAAAAAGGCATCACTACATGACAAGGAGCAGATGTTGATTCAGGAGAGGGAGGAGGCACAGGCTGCTCACCAAAAGGAGCAAGAGATGTTATCAGTCCAGCTGCAGGAAAAGACAGCAGTAATTATCCAGGTGTGTGGAAAATATCTTAAACCTAGATTTTAAATGTGCTTTTGGGGTTGGTTTTTTTAGCACAGTGATCTCTTCTGTCTCAAGGTGTATATTGAGGGACTGCATGTACAATTCTTGTGGTATATTAAACTGTTCTGTTGGACCTTCCTGTTTAGGGGGAAAAAACAGGAGTAACACTTGAGAATTTCCCTACTGGCAATGCATTATTGATTCCAGCTCTTCTTGCAGGATTTGATGAGGTGTCAGAAGGTTGGCACTGGAGCAGAATGCTTTTCTTTCCTTGCAGTTTCCTCCCCAATAGATATTTTGACTTATTTGTTTTTGTTTACTTATGAGACAGAGTTTCTAACAAAGTGCCACTAATTTGTTTGGCAGCAAAATCTGGAGGTAGGGGGTGGGTATGTACATACATACATGTCTTTTTATTTTTATATACATACATTTTAATTGGATAAAGGTGTCATCTGAGCATACTAATATGAGGAGATAAGTAATTTTTCCAGAAACTTGTTTTCAGGTAGGGTTTATAAAACAAAGTTTAGGCAAAGTGATTGACTTTGTTGCATTGTCACTGCTTTTCCACAGCTGGAGAAGAAAGTGGAGTCTTTAAAGCATGAAATAGAGGAGACCAACTCTGAACTGGAGACACTCCTTCAGCAGCAGGACAGGGAAAACCAAGAAGGAGGGAATTTGGTAGCCTTGTTGAGATCTGATATTGAGCAATCCAAGGAGGAAAGGTTTGTTCAGCTTTGGTTACATAATGTTTACTGCTTGGAGTTTTTTTGTTTGCTTGTTTTCTCACTTCTCATAAAGAAATCAATAATCAGGCAAAATTAAGCCAGCTCAAATTAATAGTTTAGGATGATATGCTAGTTTTATTTGCAAATTTTTTCAAGTTTTTTTAAAATTACCAACCTATCTGGACATGGAGGGCAAGGGGTTCTTATCTTGCTCTTTTTTGTGCAGTCTGGTGAAGATTTTGGCATTTTGGGGTTTCCACTGTCTCTCATCTTGGAAAAATCTAAGAAATAGAGAAAGCCTCTTGTTCACAAAACCTTTCAGTGCAATGTGGATTGTTTTGGTGTGTCATGGGAATATGTGGGTTGGAGAAGCTATCACGCTGAATAAGCTTTAAGAAGAATTCCCTCTCTCTCATCTTTAGGAAACTGGCTTACTGTTTTGCTTAAAACTAAAATGTTTTCATAAATACAATTTTTGTTGTCAGCTCTGCCAGAGCACCCCTAGTTATTTTGACGTCACTGATACTATAGTAGTAGATGTATACTCCTTGCTGGTGCTTCCATGGATGTGGAAGAGTCAGATGCTTGAGACTGCACTATGATCTACCCGTGGAGAAAACAAAGGTGTTTTGCTGAGCCAGCTCTTCGACAATTACCTGGGTTTTTTTGTGAGTCACCTGAATCATCTTTGCTGATAACTGTCAAACTATGGCAAAATACCCATTTTAGACTGTCAGCTTTTCAGTAGGTTCAGAGTGTCTTTCAAATCAAGTGCATGCAATTTTTGAAGTGTTGGATGTGCTTCTGTTCTAGGGAAAAACTGCGCGAATCTTATCAGCAGGTTTTGAAGTTGCTTATGGAACTGGTGAAGGCCACAATAGCTATTGAGGACCTTATCTGTAGCAAGATTGGTCTTTGTCTTGATGACAGCCTGGCTTCTGGAGATTCTAGAGAAGCTCACGCTATTGTGGAAGAAATGGGATTTATGCGATATTTCAAAGCCAGAGAAAACCATCTAGAGAAAGGTGAGTCCAAATCGGCAAACCTGGATACATCATCAGCTCATGTTCTTGAAAACTGCCTTTTCCTTTCCTTTTGTATGGATGAAGTTAAGAGAGAGGATATCTCTTGTTGCAATGTTTCTGTGTCTTTCAGAGCTGCTGCACACTTAAGACAGTGCCTATCAGTGTTGTCTCAGTTTGGTTCTTTTAATAGTGCAACTACTAAAACGTTGTTGGAAAAGCCTGAGTGGATTATAGGGCAGGAAAGATGGACTTGGTGAATGCGGAGTTTCAGGTCCCGATGTACAGAATAATCCCAAACGTTGTGAAAAGCCCTGGTGATTTTTTGACATTGAGTTGTTGATGTGTCTGAGGTTTACCTTGTACATCTCCAGGACCAACTAAGGTCACTGTCTGATGTCAGTTGTTATCTGAGTGACTGGTTTTGTTGCTAGCTGTCCTTTTTTTGTGTGTGTGTTTTTTAAACAGCTTGCTTGTTTTCAGTAGAGGAGCTGCTTGATGAAACTCTCACAGAACACAACCAGCTGTCTCCAGGGGCTGACGAGGGGTCTGAGTTGAGCCAATACTTATGTGAAAGTGTTTTTGCAAAGCCAGAATTGGCATGTGAAAATGAAGAAATGATACTGAAAATTTGTCATCGTTTGCGCACTGCAGTGGAGAGACTTCTGGAGCTGGTTACAGAGTCAACTAAACAAGTAAAGCTTTTTAATCTATGTAGAGCAGCCTGGTCTAGTGGAAGGTTGTGCTGGTTTAAAGGTAAACCAGCAGGGGAAACGAACTCAACTCAAAAGAGAGATTATAAGTCAGAATAACAATTTAATAAAATAATACAATAAGTACGATTATACAGACAAACAATTGGTTTTAACCCACAAAACCCAAGTGTATAACCCAGCGCCCTGGGGCATGAACAGAGTGGTGTTCTTTGGGCCCCCTGAGTCCAAAGTAAAAGGAGAGGGGAGAAACCTGTTGGTGAGAGTGCTGTTGCAGTCTGGTCAAAAGTGGTGATTGCAGTCTGGTTGAGAGTGGTGGTCTGCAGTCTGGTTGAGAGTGGTGGTCTGCAGTCTTCCTCTGGATCCCACGAGTGGTTAAAAAAGGTCCCAAGACTCCAAGATTATATATTCTCCAGTTCAGGCAGGAATGCCCAGCACTTCCCTCAGGGTGGGGAGCTCCACAAAGGGTGTGAGGACAAGAGCATCCTTCTATCTTGCAGGCCTCTTAGCACCTAGTTTATAGCCTGAGGAGTCAGGTTCTATGGGCAGATGGTGTAAATGGGTCATTGATAACAGTTTCTGGGAAATGGCATGGAAGGCTATAGAATACACAGGTTTGGGTTACACCCATACAATGATGAACTGGTCCCAGCTGTTCTAACTAGGACAAAGGTGTCCCTGCCAATGGCAGGGGTTTGGAACTGTGTGGTCTTCAAGGTCCCTTTCAACCCAGACTTTTCCACGATTCTATATATAACACTGAAAATGTGAAATCAGTTTTAAGGCTATATATTTGGCCTTCTAGCAGATCTTGTGGGAAGGCAATAAGTTGGTTGCCTTAAGTAGATTTAAACTAGCATTTTAGATTCATTCGGTAACTTTGAGGGGAGGTTTTTTGACAGGGTTTTGTTGCACTTCATGTCAATGCTTCTCCAACATCAGTAAACAGGTTCAGGAAAACTCAGTCTGATGTTAAAATGTTGTGGGAATATGTGGATAGCAGCATACAAACATCCTTGTATTTATATACTGTTCAATTGTGATAATTGTTCAGAGGTTTTGGGCAAAGTCAACTTAGTACTAAAATGAAACTTCAAAACTTGGGCCTTATTGCATAGATGGGTTTTTGTTGAAATGTCTGCAGTGTTATTGCGCTGCATGTGCATCTGAGATCTGATGCTTGGGGAAATTTTTCACTTGTAGCTGGAGAAAATGCATGAAAACCACGCACAGTTTGAAGAGGAGTTCAGCCGCCGAAATCAGGAGACTGCCCAGGTGGTGAGTCAGCACCAGGAGCTGATGGAGTGCCTCAGCGAGGAGAGCGAGGCCAAGAACCAGCTGGCACTAGAGCTTCATAAAGCAGAGGGTAAGAAAATGAAATTAATGTAATTTAATGAGATTTCAGTGTCCTTTACTCATAGCTCATTCCTCCCAATACCAGTGGTGCGACTTGATGATCCTTGTGGGTTCCTTCCAACTCGGCTTGGTCTGTGATTCTGTGCTTTCTGTGTCCTGGATTTCTTGGGCTCTGAATCTAACATCTGATCTTCCTTTCTGGAGATTCTGTTTCTTCAAACCTCAGCCCTCAGCAGAGGATGTGTCAGGATGTTGTGAGCTGATCCCAGGCTATCAGAAGCTTAATGATCCCCATTTGAATTCTGTAGACTTGGAGACATTCTGTAACATGGCAGCCTTGTAAAATCTGTTAAAATGTATCAGTTAATGTATTCTATTTCTTAAGGTACTTCAAAAAACCTAACTACAGTGTAAACTTAAGTCATCTTTTACTTCTTCCTTGCCATGTCACCTTCGGTCATTTGCCAAAACTTGCTTACTCGTGTTTTCAAGCTACTTTTTCCCTATAGATGAGTTTGTCCGTGTCTTTATTTGCATTCTGACTTGGGATTTTAGGCATTATTGAAGGCTACGTCGCAGAAAAAGCTGCATTAGAAGAGGCCTTGAACCTGAAAGAGGAGTCTGAGCGTCGCCTTGTTGTGGAGCTGGAAAACATGCGGGAACGCTTCCAGGAGCTGACCCAGGAGCAGGCAATTCTTGGTGAGGAGTGGGTATGGCACTTGGAGTAGAAAACAAAGTTGTCCCCAGTCAGGGCAGGCTGCAGTGTGTTTCTGTAATGAATCAGTGCTTGGTTTGATGACCTGGTGAGCAGCTCAAACTGGCGCAGACGTGACAGGGTCTTCCTGTAAAAGCAGCAAGTAAAATAAAGCAGCTGGTTCTTTGCTTGTAAGATGATAATGCTGTTAGTGAAGAGTACTGCTGTAGCTCTGTGCTTAGTTAGAAAGGGATAGATCATCCTCAGTGCAATCACACAGCACCCACTGACAAGGGATCAGACCCAGCCAGCACGGGTTTAGGAAGGGCAGGTCCTGTCTGAGCAACCTGATCTCCTTTTATGATCAGGTGACTCGCCTGGTGGATGAGGAGAAGGCTGTGGATGTGGTCTACCTGGACTTCAGCAAGTCTCCCACAGCATTTTCCTGAAAAAGCTGGCAGCCCACGGCTTGGGCAGGGGCACTCTGTGCTGGGTCAGGAACTGGCTGGAGGGCCGGGCCCAGAGAATGGTGGGGAATGGAGCTGCATCCAGTGCTAATCACTAGTGGTGTCCCCCAGGGATCAGTGTTGGGCCCAGTTCTGTTTCATATCTTTATTGATGATTTAGATGAGGGGATTGAGTCCATCATCAGCAAATTTGCAGATGACACTAAGCTGGGGGGGAGTGTCGATCAGCTGGAAGGCAGGAGGGCTCTGCAGAGGGACCTGGATAGGCTGGAGAGTTGGGCTGATTCCAATGGGATGAGGTTCAACAAGGCCAAGTGCCAGGTCCTGCACTTTGGCCACAACAACCCCCTGCAGCACTACAGGCTGGGACAGAGTGGCTGGAGAGCAGCCAGACAGAGAGGGACTTGGGAGTTTGGATTGACAAGAAGCTGAACAGGAGCCAGAGTGTGCCCAGGTGGCCAAGAAGGCCAATGGCATCCTGGCCTGGATCAGGAACAGTGTGGCCAACAGGGCCAAGGAAATGATTCTTCCCCTGGACTCAGCACTGGTGAGGCCACCCCTGGAGTGCTGTGTCCAGTTCTGGGCCCCTCAGTTCAGGAAAGACATTGAGGTGCTGGAGCAGGTCCAGAGGAGAGCAACAAGGCTGGTGAAGGGACTGGAGCACAAGTCCTATGAGGAGAGGCTGAGGGAGCTGGGGCTGTTCAGCCTGGAGAAGAGGAGGCTCAGGGGAGACCTCCTCACTCTCTACAGCTCCCTGAAAGGAGGTTGTAGCCAGGTGGGAGTTGGTCTCTTTTCCCAGGGAACTATCAGTAAGACAAGAGGGCATGGTCCCAAGTTGTGCCAGGGGAGGTTTAGGTTAGATATTAGAAAGAATTTCTTTACAGAGAGGGTGCTCAGCCATTGGAATGGGCTGCCCAGGGAAGTGGTGGATTCTCCATCCCTGGAGGTTTTTAAGACAAGACTGGATGTGGCATCAGTGCCATGGTCTAGTGACCGCAGCGGTAGTGGATTAAGGGTTGGACTTGATGATCTTGAAGGTCCCTTCCAACCCAGCTGAATCTATGATTCTATAAGTGTTAAAGTAAATAAGAGGTGTGTTTTAACTCCACTTAGTTGCAACAGGTAATTGGCACCTAATTAATAACTGAAATGCTGGTTCTTTGGTACTGCAGTTGAAAGAGTTGGAGCTTGAAGGCTTTTGACTGCTTTTAGGACTAAGGAGATAGCTTAATAATGACAGAAAAAAATAAACTTCTCCTGGAAGATTATTTGAATTGTGATGATGTGTACTCAGTTTTAGACATAAGCTTTTCCCCTGCTCCCCAGCCTTGTCCTGTCCAAACACACAGACATGGTCGGTCAGGATGACGGGAAGAATTTTAATGGTCAAGGACAGAGACTGTTTAGGTTTTTAAAGGAAAGTATATGGGTTGAAAAAACTGAATGAGGTAGTGGTCTTGCAGAGGATAAGGTGAGGCAAGGATCTTAAGCTTTTAGGGTGACTCACTGCAGGCCAGAGCCACTGAAATACTAAATCATATTCGGGTAAGTAGGTGCAAGTAATCAAGTAAGTAGGTGATATGATGTAAGCTAATTACAGGGAGCTTGTGTAGGGAAGTGGAGTAGTGTAAGGGGAAACTCTTCAACATAGTAGATGAACTCTACTAATATTCAAAAAGAGAGAACTCACACTGCAAATGAAGGAGCACATATTTTAACAGTGACAGCAGTGATTTAATAAAGACCCTGGAGAATCTCAGTGTAGTATAGCTGGTTTACATATAAGATAACTTTTTGATTAACAGGAGAAAGTTCAGAGTTATGTGATTCGCACTGCAAAGCAACTCAAGACTAGGTTGTGCTGCTTCTTAATGATAACTCTGAGAATTATTTAAATGGCATTATATAGTTTTGACTTCTTGAACTTGCAGCCTTAGTGCCCTTCTAGTACTTCTGTAAGTGAATTTCTCTCTATCATCTTCCAGTAGAAATTTTATTGTTTATTTATTGATAAATTTTATTTATCACTGGCTTTCCATTTCTGGTAATGCCAACATTACGATACCCTCAGCTGTGTCACCACAATGCCACCCTCAGCTATATTGCATAGATCTTTTCTGACTGAGCAGACTGTGTAACAGGGAGTTGTGCACAGGGCAACATGCTTAGGTCAGAAATAAAGACAGCAAGAAACAGTTTTCTAGTGAAAAACTGTTGCCTGCCTCTCTGAGTCTCAACTCTGCCGTTGTCCTGCTCTTGTGGTTCTGCATTTGACCTTTAAAGCATAGTACAATCAAAATACTGATGTTGTACATAGAATCATAGAATTATTTGTGTTGGAAGGATGCTTTAAAGGTCATCTAGTCTGACCCTCCTATAGTACCAGAGACATCTTCCACTAGACTAGACCAGACTAGAATATTTTCACTTAGAACTGACTTAGAGCAATCCATCCTGACGACTTTTGGTCAGCCCAAAGTTAAAGCATGTTATTAAGGACATTGACCAAATGCCTCTTGAGCACTGACAGGCTTGGGGCATCCACCACCTCTCTAGAAAGCCTGTTCCAGCGTTTGACCACCCTCTTGGTAAAGAAATGCTTGCCAGTGTCCACTCTGAATCTTTCCTGGTGTGGCTTTGAACCATTCCCACACTCCTATCACTGAATACCAGCATCTCCCTCCCCACATTCCCTCCTTGGGAAATTTTGGGAGCAGTGAGGTCACCCCTGAGCCTCTCTTTCTCCAGCCTAGACAAACCCAGAACCCTCAGCCTCTACTCACAGGACAGGCCTTCCAGCCCTGTTGCCAGCCACTAGACCAGGTTGCTCAGAGCCCTGTCCAACTTGATCCTGAATGTTTCCAGGGATGGGGCATCCACCACCACTGTGGGCAAGCTGCCAGTGTTTCACCACCCTCATCATGAAAAATTTCTTAACTTCTATCTAGTCTGAGTCTACCCTCTTTAGTTTGAAATTATTACACCATGTCATATTGGTACTAAATGCATAGTACCTAAGTTAGTATTAATAGTTGTGTCTGTCTCTGAGCTCTCTTCCTCAGGGGAAAGACAGCAGAACATAAACTGGTCCAGGGACTGTGCTTGCTTTACAGCAATGATTGTGGCATTGAGTAACATATCCCACAGGAAATGCAAAATCGTTCCTTGGTGTTGTTGAACACAAGTACGACTGTGGGTTATGGAAATGTGTGACAGATTGCAGGACCTGTGCCGGGGAGTCCTGCTGGGCCAAATCCTGCTTTAGATCCCCTGACAGGAGATAAAAGGAAGATTTGAGGCATTGATTATTCCACCTCTATATAGTGAAAATTGCAAAAACATAGTATTGATTGTCTTAGAAAATGCAGAAGTGACTGGCCAAGGATGTTGCAACAAGCTTGCAGGGTTATAATGTAAAACCATTTCTGTAGTAGCTCTAGTCCTATTACAGACATGAATCAGTGTAGATCATCAGGAGCTTTGTGTCATAATAAAGATGAAATGCAATTATGCCAAAAAGAAAAGGTAGGCCCTATCTGTATCCCATACAGATTATTAGTGATTTTAGAAGATAGAATGGATCACAATATTCTATTCTTGTCTTGTACATGTCTGTGTATTTCAATTTCTAGGAACACCTGCTGCTAATGTAGCACTGAAAGAAGGTTCAGGTTTGTAATAACAAGTGTGGTTTGTTTTTTTTCTTGCTGTGTTGCTGTAACACTGTGCGAATAAATTGATAATTTTGATTTTATCTTAACAACGAGGAATAGTACTTAATAAATAGGCCCAGCAGGTTATGAAAAGTGTTTGAGGTGATGTAAAATGGTGAGCTAAAAATGTACAGCAAGAACTGAAGGAAGTCTAAGGAAGACTAGAGAAATGTAACTGAATGGATTGGTAGGTCAGAAAAAAGAAGAGGAGAGCAGAATTAATTATGGGAAGAAAGAGGAAACCCAAAATAAGCAAGAAGGATCTGTGGAGTTATACACTGACTTTGGAAGTCTATTGCTGAAGTAAAATTTGTAGGTGCCAAATTGAAAAAGGCATTTTTATTTTTTTTTCTCCTAAACTAAAGTATGCACACTTAACTCCTGAGTGGCTGACATTTAGATCTGATACATTCTTAGTTGCCACGATTGTTTTGTGGTCCACTTAAAATATAATCTCTTATCGTTTTTAGATTAATTTTATTTACACACACATATATATATTCATAGATGTGTTCTCTTTGTATATTCACTGTCTCTTGTTTCTAGACTTTTCCCCCAAAGAGTGTGAGCTGGGTAAACCAAAACCCTCAAGTGAGTAAAAAGTTAGCAGGGTGAATTCCTGTTGGAGTGAAGAAGCTGCACTGAGCTGTCTTGCCTGTTACTGTATCTTTATTCCTTCTGTCCATTCAGATCTCCCTCAAACACTATTTTTATTTAACTTATTTTTGGTGACCACCTCACTGTCCTGAAATTTGCTGCTGCCCTCTGAAAGAGAGGGGATGTATAACTGAGCTGGTTACAGTGTATTTTGGGATTGACATTCTCCTAGTAGCAGCAGCAGCAGCCCAGCTCTTGCCAGCAGCTCGTTACAACTTGAACAGTTGCTTTTGCTGCAAGTGCCGAGCCCTAAAATTCATCCCCTTTCTCCCACCCCCCCCCAGCCATCTGTAGTACTCTTCCTCTGGCTTGGAATTGTTTGTAGTAGGTGGAAAACGTGATAAATATAAATCATCTTGTTTGGAGTTGACATGGCTTATTCCTTGAAAAGCTGACGCCTCCTCCAGTTTTTGATGTGGAGTAACTACCGTGAGTAGAACAGCCTCGCTAATTAAATGCACTCAGAATGGAGCTTGGCATTTGCTAACGATTTTGGGAGTGGGGAGGAGTGTGCTGGGGCATTGCTGAAGGGGAATTGCGTGATTTGAATAAGCATTGATAAAATAGCAGGTTTTGTCTACAAAGGAACAGATCTGTGAGCTGGTGATCTGTTTGTGTTGCTTGAAATTCTGTTTATACAGTTGGGGACGTGTGCTTAAAAAAAAAAAAAAACAAAAAAAAAAGATCAAAAAATTGGTCAAACAGATTGCACTTACTGAGATTGCCAAAATCTGATACCCGCTTTCTATTAAATACTGCTGATTCCAGGTAAAATCTGTTTCCCTAATTATTTTTTTTCCATTAACTTGCATTTCTGCCTGAGGAGGTGACTGTGACTGGGTAACTCAGTGTTATCTAATCAGTATTTTGTTCCTCAGAAAGCACTAGTGTTCCTTTGGAAGCTAAAGGGAAGGCATCAGCCATGTTTCTTAGGATATAGAAGGAAAAATTCCTGTGCTCGTTTTCCCAAATGTCAGTTCTTTTCTCACAGGGTCTGTCTACGTCCATGACCTTCCTCTGGGTGCACAAATAACAGTGTGCACGGGACCTTGCCCTCCTCCCTGCACCACGTGTAACCAAATACACTAGAGCGCTATTTTATTCCCATTATTCCCATCTCCAGCCTGCCAAAACCCAGCTCTTGGCAAAAGATATCCTCTCTTGTGCAGCTGTGGCTGGGATTGTCTCCTAACGGAATTCAGACTGTTGGCTTTTTTTCCTGTGTGTTTCAGCTGCTTGCTGTGCTGCATCTCATGATACGTGTGATATATGATACATCCAATACAGCTGCAAGGGGGCTGGGAGAGAAACTGGGGGAGACTCTTCATTCCATGCATTCTGCCAGAGCCTGAATTACATCCACAACTCAACGAACTTATGAATATTGATTGTGATTATTTAGCACAATGCTAGAAAAGGTAGAGAGTGTGGCCCCGTTGTTTTTATATAGTCCATGGCTCCTGGTAATTGTGCATGTGCAAAATGAGTGCTTGGAGGGGAATGTAGTTGGAATGTAGTTGTAATCCACAACTACAGTCTCTCAAAGACAGGAAGTACTTACCAGGACGGGAGCTTTTTGAGATTTGTAATCTGTGTGGGACTTGTATTTAGCAGCCAAAAGCAAACTTAATCTGGCAGGAGGAGCCCAGTACCAGTGTACCAATGGGTAAGGGAGGGCAGGGCTAACATGCTATGTAGAGTGAGTGCAAAACAAAGTGGTTTGTGTTTCCTTCAGCTGGATGTGCCATGCTCTCCTATTGGCTGTGCAAAGGGACCAAGGAGCAATTTTATGTCCACTTCAGCTGGTTTCAGAAGGTGGCCATGGGTGCTTAGCAGATCGGGTCAATGGTTAAAGCATCTGGTACAGTTCCATGTGTGCTGAGTTTTTATTTGCTCAATTAACCTCTTAGTTTTTACTTGTATATCTTAATATTGTCTTAATGCAGAGAAAGTATAGTTGCTGCAGTGAGACCAGCGTGACTAAATCCTGGAATCACGGGGTTGCTGTGGCCCTCAAGAGCTCATGTAGTCCATACTTTTGTCCCAAACCAGAATCTACTTTCCTTATTTCTCTTTGTCCAGCCTGTTTGATTTCCAGAGCCAGAGATTTCGCATACTCTGCACATTCTGTTCCATTATCCTCACTGTGATGACATTTTCCCCAATGTTTAGTGTAAATATTGTTGCAATATTCCAAACCTGTGACACTTATCTTCTTAAGCATGAACATGGAAATGTTGCTCATTTTCAAGTGTGTAGAGATGTAATTAAATACCTGTGGATAGTGAAACCCTAGAAAAAAATGTTGTAGGCAGGCTGTGGTTGTCCATTCTGGAAAGAGGGCTGGATGACCACTTAAGGTCCTTGTTGGATCATAGGCTTACCTTTGACTGAAAACATTTAAGGTGATGATAGAACATTTGAAAAGTAAAATGATGATCTCTTGCAGGACCTTGCTTTGATACAAAATAGGTTTCTGTTTTTCATGCTCAGCTTACTTACCTATGTTTACATAAAAGTAGCTTTGATTCGTGAGCGTTCACAGTAGAGTCTCAGTTTTGGTCCCCTAAACAGCGTATTGAGTGCATCCAGCTGATTGAAAATTCAGTTTGTAGCTATAAATTAACTCTTGATAACTTAAATAATTTAAACTATATACATTTTCCTACTTCTGGTAATGCTTTTGCAGTCTGTAGATGTGCCATCTTTTTCCCCAGGTGTTTCTTCCCTTTGTAATCTGAGAACTGGACCGATTTTCTGTAAGCATGATTTTTCTGCAGGTTTTAATTCCCACTCTGGTTCAGAGAAATACAGTAACTTTGCTTTCTCATAGCAGCTGGCCTCAGGGTTGGGCTGGACACCAGTGGCCACTGGAAAGATGGACTGGGTGCTAATTTACCAGTATAGATGGCAGGGGCAGTATATCCAGCATGACACGAGGCAGGGAGTAATGGAGAAACTGGATAGTGGATGTCTAAGGAAGATCTTGGCATGAGAGTGTGGAGGAATCAAGAATTCTGTATTGGCTGGCTCGATTAAGAGAGTTGGGAAAGAAGGGTGGCAAGGATTTAGGATAGGGCAGCAAAGGATGGGACAGTTGGAAGGGTTGGTATGAAAGATTAGGTGGCTGACAGTGGTGTTTGGGGCTTAAACCTGGGGATGGAGCACCTCTGGAATGGAGTGAATTGGGAGGACTGAGGACTGGTGTGGTTTGGAAAGAGCCTCTGGGGCAAGAAGAGTGTGGAACTGGGGTTGAGAAGGCAAGGACCTAGGGAGTGAACTTGAAGGATTCCTGATCAGGTGAGATGGGGCTCTCTGGAATTAGGAGGTCTCCAGGAGTGAAGGTGAAAGCTTTCTAAGGGTCTAGAATATCTCCAACCAGGATTCACTTAGGGATTGAGAACAGATACCCCTGGCCTCCTTTATTAAGATGGCTTTTGGAGACCCCATGAGCAGTCATGCATCAGAATTCCTGTTGTCTCTCTTCTAGCCCATCTCAGGAATATTTTTCTTTGTTTTGATGCTGTCCAAAATACCTGAAATTAATCTCATCTGAAACATTTGATTTTTGTGCCCTGCACTGACAAACTTTTGTTATTTTTGTGTTCTTGTTCAGGTCTACTCAAGGAAGTAGAATTTTTATCAAAGGAGAAATTAGAGCTTCAGTGTCAGGCAGAAAAGGACCATTCCAACTTACGCTCTCAAATGAAGGTTTTGGAGGTGGAACTGGAAGAACAGCTGCACAGTAACCAGGACCTGGCTACACAGTTACTGGAGGTTGCTGAATTAAAACAGCAAATTCAAGTTCTTGAAAAACAGCTTAAAAACCAGCGGCAGTTCATGGACGTAAGTGAGCCTGTGACCACATTTCCATGGGTTTGGAGGTGATAAATTCTTCTCCTGGTTTGTGACTGCGACTTGGAAGGTGGTTCCTAAAATGGGATATTTTTAGTTTTGTTTGAAATTAAGACTTTGGTATTCTAGTCTCATAAAAGAAATAAAAAAGTTGATTTTTTTCAATTCCCTCTCTGTAGTATTGCAGGATAATTCTTCCTTTTTATTAACTGATAGTTGTAATTTGTATGTACACCGAAGTCAAAAAGGTGGGGTTTTTTTCCTTCTCTGTAATTGTAGATATGCTTTCAGGACTACTAGAAGGTGTTAATTATTTTTAAATGGACAGTTTCTTCACCACAAAAACAACCCCCAGAGCATTCTTGTTCACAATGTTGTAATGAAATGCCAAGTTTCTTTCTCTCTGGCTGGGTGTACAGGAACAAGCTATAGAAAGGGAACATGAACGCGATGATTTTCAGCAGGAGATTCAGAAACTGGAAGAACAGTTAAAACTGTCAGCAAAATCACAGACTTCAGGACAGCCCAGAGAATACAGTGTGAGTAAAATAACACTTAATGACCAAAGGAGTTTGTTTACTGCAATTAAATAACAAAACCTGTGTTTTCTTGGGGATATGGCTCCGGGAGACTTTTTTTTTTTCCCCTCTGTTGTTGCCCAGAGAGCAGATTTTTCTTCCCCAACTGACTGAACTACTTTTAGGCAGTGAGAATGCACTTATATCATTTGTTAGGGTGATGGAAAGAACTGTTGTATGTGCTTTACAGTAAGGTTTCACAGCCTCTGAGTCTGATTTAAGTGAACCGAGGAGGACAACACTAGAGACACTCAGCTCTACAGAGCACATCTGAGGGATGACTTCTGGGTTCTAAATGTATTTATTTTTTTCCAGCTATAGCAGTTATAATAGAGATGTTCTTTGTCTGCATGCCTTGTCCTATTTAGGTTTATAATGAGCTCTTGTTTACACATGTTCATTTTTTTGATGCTTGGTTTCAAACATTAACTTTTTCTTTTTTTTTTCTTTTTCTTTTTTTTTTGGTTGGTTGTGTTTTTTTCACATAAATGAACATTATACAGAACTATGAATTGATTCTACAGGTATGGAAAACAGCATGAACATCTCTTTAACTTTTCTTTCCTTTTACTTTCAATCCTTTCTAGATCTGCTTTAGCTTTTCTTCCTCCTCTTGATATGTCAAGGCATGACTTGGAGCTAAGGCTACAGGTTTTAGGGTGGCAGAATTCTTTCAGGGAATGAGGAACTGCTTTCAGTTTAATTTCCTTTGCATAAATAGTTTGTTCTCGTGGCTTATTGCTCAAAGGTATTACAGGCAGTTATTCACTGTACCAGAGCTTTTTGTCATGAAAGGAGAAGTTGAGGTTTGGAGTATATGGAACAAAGATACTGGAATGGTGGTGATACTGTGCCTTAACCTTCAGCTTTTTTGTGACCTGGTGCTTACCAAAACTTCAATGTGTAGACTACTTAGTTACATTTCTATCTGTTTATTTATGTATAGTTTATGGAATTGTGTACCTCAGTGTTAGAAAAGCTTGTAAGAGCAACTGCATCTTTGATAGAGCGAATTTTCCATGCTGGAGGGCGTGGCTGAAAAAATTAACTGCTCTAGCTTTGCAACCCCTTTTCAGAAAGGATGAAAACTTAACTTGGAGAAAGGACACACTAGGATGGTAACTAAGCAAGTGACATTTGTAGGTAGGGTGAGGAATGCAGGCATTCCATGCCAAAAAGGAAACGTCAGGATTTGTTTGGTTGTTTAATGCAGCTGTAACATCAGGAAGTGCTTAACTCGCTGCAAACCACACCAGTTCAAGTGAACTGCTAATTCCTGCATGTAGAAGCTGTAACAAGCTCACAGTTGCCCTCTCTGCTGTTCACTGGGCTCGAGGTATGTGGGAGTGGGATTATTTTGGGGAAAGAGTGCTGGCTGGTATTTGGGAGCTGCAGTGTGCTCCGTGAGGGTGAAGGTTGTGAAGTGTTTCTTTCCTTAGCTACAGGATTGCAATACCACCTTCCTAGCAACGTGGTGTTAAAATCACACTTTTTATGTCTGAAGTGTCATAGTTTTGGGATTCTGTTGTCAAAATTTTATAGCATTAGAAAGGTTAGACTTCTAGAATATTTTTCTATACCCAAAAGCTTTACTGTAAGGCCTTAACTGTGTTATGCTTAACAGTTGGTCAGATGCTGATGAGATGAGAAGACAGTAAGATACATACATAGTTAAGGAAATGTTTATGTGCCTGTAAGCAGTTGAAAATATGATGTTAATCACTTTTGGTTTTCTTAACCAGCCTCTGACACTCTCCATACTTATTGACTCTTTTTCTCTATTTGGCTAGAGCGTGTTTTGCTGCTTTAGTAGTATCTGTATAATACTTTGAAGACATAAAGTTCTGTCTTAATGCAAAGAATTTTTATTTTATAATGCCCAAGTGGGGATTTGCATCAATTCAGACACTTACTGATGAACAAAGCATTTATTTTGTGAAGTCTCATCTTCCTTGCTCATTGGTGTTGACCAGGTTATTTCTCCTTTCCAACTGCTTTCCTGCCTGAGCTTGCTTTCAATGTGCTTAATGACTTTATCACACCTTGAGGTAGATTCTGTCACACACACCCCTCCCCAAAGCTCCTAGCTTTGCCTTCACCTTGATTACTGGGATGAATGAATGACTGTTTTCCTGCAGCTGTGTTTGGTTGGATCTCAGTGAGCTCAAATTCAAAATTGGTATCCTCTTCGTATTTAAATAATTTTTGGAAAAAGAAGTACCTGTCCTATGGTGACTCCTGGGAATCTCTCTGATTTGTAGGCATTGGGTATGTTACATTGCATATTTGTCTTTCGGTTCTTCCTTTAAATAGGAATTCCTTGGAAAATTGGAAGAGGGTTCTGAGGTTACAGAAATAAATCTAATGCTGTTCATAATAATTCATGTAGTCTTGGCGTTTTTTTTTTCATCTTAAAACAACCCCCCCCCACACCACAAGGCTCCTTTGAGAGCATGCCTTCATCTAGTATTTTGTGAGAATACTGCAAATATTAAGAGAGAGTAATCAAATGTCTACCTAAGAGCTGCTGCCTTTGGAAAACAAGATTTCAGAAAGTTACTTTTACTTTTTCATCCCTTCTGTCCACGTCTAGTTTTATTTTCACCTGGGATTTTAGCACTTCTTTAGACTGTAGTAAACCTCCACTGCTTTGACATGAAGTCGCTCTTGCTTCCAATTGAAGGTTTGTTATATTGCCTGAATGTATGTACACTGTGATTTCTGTATAGGTAGAATCTTTGCAAGCAGAACTAAAGGAGAAGATGGATGATTACAATAAGCTGTTATTAGAAAAGGAGCGAAAACACCAGGAAATTACAGCTCGTGATAAAGAGATAGAAAAACTGGTGGCACAGATCCAAGAGCTGAAGTGCAGTGGTGCTGAGGTCTCCAATACTGTACATTCATTGGAAAAACAGCTGCAGAAAATGAAGAAAGTGGAAACTGAACTGAAACAAGTAATTTTTAAATCCTTATTGAAGTGGGGTTGGCATTACGTGGCAGTGGCTTTGTAGGGGTTATTGGTGGTGCTTGTGACTCCCCACACCCAGTTAAACTGGTGTATTAATGGCAGGTATCACAGCCACAGTTTTAAATAAACTCTGGTTTTACATACTCCAAGTCCACTATAGAAACTTATGTACTACTTGTAAGTAGTGTATGCTTATATGCTACTAATAAGACTTACTCCAAGTCTTACTGTGGAGCTTGCTTTTAATAGTTGTCACGCTTGTGTGGTTCAGAGCTGCTCTTGTGCTTGTCTGGAAGTTTCTGAGAAGGTGATGTTACTGAATATTAAACACTGAGGGTCTTCATAAGTCCCTGTGTCTAAAGTCATATTATCTTAATATGTAGCCCTTCTTGCTCTGTGTCTTTAAAGCCAGATCTGTTCACCATGATCTGAAGTTTTTAGTGTTTTGTTACTACTGCAGATTTAATCACAGCTTAGAGTTAAGAATTACATTCCATTTAGCAAAAGTATTTGTCTTTGACCAAATATTTGAGTAACTTTTTTTTCTACCATCTTAAAGTAAACGTTCAGTTTCCTGCCAACAGTTTTCCTTGGTTGAGTATTGTTGGGAGCTTTGTAGAGATCTTTTTGCCCACAATCACATAATAGGAGGTTATAGAGAAGGTGGAGTCAGACTTGGAGGTGCATGGTGAAAGGATGAGAAGATATGAGTGTAAACTGCAACAGGGGGAATCCCAATTCAGTGGTAGGGTGAAGGGGTCCTACTGGGGGCAGCCAGACATTGAAAAAGGGGGCTCAGAGTGGCAGTGATGCCTCTGCCGTGTCAGAATGCCCTGAGCAGAGCCAAGTTGGTTCTCCTTTGAGTCAGATGCTGGACCAAGGAGCTCTAGAGACCTTTCCCAGCTTAAGCCTTTCTGTGGTTTTATCCACACATACAAAAGCCATACCCATTCATTTTCTGTCTGCCTTGGATTGGATGGAGACTGTGGTGCTGCTGTTGGCAAGTTTTTTTTTTTTTTATTAGAAAAAATAAAGGAGTAAAACTTCAGTGAGCTAACACATTGAATTGTTTTGAATTCCTATTTCTTTATAGGCTGTTGAGATTATGTGCTTTTCCTGTACTGGGTTTGTCAGGGACGCTGAAGTGTTTTGGCAGCATTGTTCTGGTTAGGAAGGTTTCTATATTGACAGCAATTAATTCTAACATGAATTTTTTTTATTTTTTTTTTTCAGGATAAAGAGGCATTGCAACAACAGCAGTACAATAACCTGATCCAGATCTCTGCTCTGCAGTCTAAGCTGGATGAAGCAAGGCACCGAGTGCCAGTGGATGGCAGTTCTGCCCCTGTGCTGAAGGAGCAGCTACAGGCAGAGCAGGAAGCACTTCAGGCCAAGGAGAGAGAGGTGAGAGCTTTAGTAGAGTCCTGCAGACTCTTGAGTTGCTCTCGTAATTGCATAAATATTTTGTACACACTTATAGCTGGGAATTTAATTCATTCAAAACCCGAATGATTTAATGCATTAATAAATGTGCCTTCTTACCCAGAATTCTCTGTGCTTTGGCCTTAACTAACCTTCCTTTTTCTTACTTTGTTTTGTATTCATCTCCTTTCCCACTGGAAACTGTCTTGTGATGGTTCTCATCACCTTTGAGACTGATCAGTATCAGTTGTAAACTGATTTCCCTTTCCTTCCAAAGTTGAAGTGGAGCAGAAGGTAGACAGTTTTTTGTTTGACTTTGAGAATGAGGGATAGCTCTTGTCACATTATTTGGAACTTCTATTGGATTTGCATGCACAGATGCATACAAAACCCTGCTGTATGTTTACATTATTATTATTATTACATAATTATTATAATATCTATGATATAGAAACATCCGGTCCAGTTCAGGATGTGCAAAGAAGAAAAATGGGATGATCCTCCAGTCAATTGTACACCATTCTTTCAAGAGCAGTAAGATAATAAAAATTGATTTCTTACAGATGGGATTTCCATGTCTCTTATGAAGTTTAACTTCAATAGTCAGATTCCCAAAGCCCCTATACCTTGCTGCCCATTATGGCAAGAGATGATAAAACCTGTGGATGGCAAAATCACACTGCTTCCACTGCTCTTTCAAACACAGGAATATGTGGTTATTGACTCATCTGTTTGATGTCTCTTACTGGGATTGGCACTTCAATGCTAATTTTTGTCTTCTGGGAGGAGGAGAATGGTGTTTATGTTAACTGCTTGTGATTAAGTTGCACATCCAATGCTAATATGTCTCCTATTGTTACTGCAAGCTACATCAGTCAAGCCTTGGCTGTTCACAGTACAGGTTAACATATCTCATGTGAGCAGTTAGATTTTTTTTTTTTTTTTTTTTTTAAGAAAATGGAAACCCACCTTTGCAGTACTTCGGTTTTACAGATGCGGAGCCGGAACACAAATTTCTCACTCTGTTTTTATGTCTCAGGTATTCCATTAGTTCAGGTTGATTAGAGTTTAAATCACAGAAATTGCTGAAGTTACTTGTTGTCATTAAGTAAGACAATGAATGAACTTTTATCTTTTCTACTTAAATAAGAGGACTTAATTGAAACAACTATGCATTTTCTTCTTTTTTTTTTAGATTGCAAGCTTGCTAGACCAACTACACCAATATAAAGATAACTTGAGCAGCAAAAACGAGGAGATATTGCAGCTGAACTTGCAGTTAGAGATACAAAAAAACCTTAGCACTTCCAGCATCAGCCAGCTTCAGGTAGAGAATGCACACTTGAAGGTAGGTTTCCTTAGCTCTAGCGTGCACTGGCTAAAATGTCAGAAACCTTCTATCTTCAGTGTTATAGTCATCATCTCCTGATGTTGTAAACAGATAATTGATTTGTTTCTCTTGCCAGGGGAATATTGCATTACTGTTACAAGACTAATGCTGGGTATTTTGGAACCAAAGCCCACCAATATTCTAGATTCATACTTGTAGCATTATCTTTTACATTTGATTTAAATCAGAAGCTTGGGTAACTTTCTGGGTTGTGGCAGTCTAATCTGGTGGTACAAACTCAAATAAAATAGCTGTAGTTGTGTTCCTGAGTTCTTCAATGTTATAGTACAGAGGAGAATGTTTAAATAAAGCCCCTAGTTCTGTTCTGCCATTAGGTTGAGAGAGGAAGTCAGTCCTTTCTAATGAGATTATTGCTTTTCCTGGACAGGAGGATCTAACAAAACTTCATGTGAAGCAAAGTCAGAACCTGGGTATTAATGATTCCTCAGCTTTGTCATTCCCACAAGCACTACTTAAAGAAAAGAATCAAGAAATCGATCACTTGAATGAGCAGATGAAGAGACTCCAGCTCGAGCTACAGAATGCTCTGGAGAATAAAGTAAGAGTGCTTACTGTATGTTCATTGCTTGATTTTTGGGGGGAAGCAAGGTGAGCAGAATCTTATGGTAAATGAAATGTTTGATAACTCTCTTAGGAAAGTAGAGGTTATTTTGAGTAGCTACCAGCTGAAGCGTGAAGTTCTTCCTGGTGTTGAACGTGTGATTCAGAAGAAAAATGTAAACTCTATGTGCAACAGTAATTGTGTCTACATGCAGTAATATTCAGTCATTATCCTTTTGCTTAGGTTGTGGAAGACCAAAAATCTGAAATTGAAGAACTCAAATCACTGGTCGAGCACCTTCGCGTTGACCAGGAGAGGCTGCGTAAGGACAAGGATGAAGAGGTAGAGCAACTCCATGGAGTAATTGAGAAGCTTCAAAAAGAACTGGCACAGTTTGGACCAGTTTGTCATGAAGATAGTGACAACCAAGATGACTTCTATCAGGTTGCATTGGGAAAGCCAGTGGAAAACCTTCAGAATGAGTTGAAGAAGGGACTGGTGGATTGTCAGGATGATCCTGATCCAAACAGAAGCAGTGCATCACTACTCTCCAAAGTGAGAGAACTTCAGGAGGAACTGGAGCTTGTCTCAGCTGCTAGACAAACTCTGCAGCAGCAACTGGAAGAGAAGGAACTGCAGTTCAAAATGGAAGTGGAAATTCTGGAGAAAAAATGCCAACAGTTGCGAGAGTCATCAGAGCAGTATGTTGCAGAGCTAGCCTCTCTGAGAATCCAGCACGAGGCGCTTCAGGAAGAATACAGCCTTTCCCAAACACGTTTGTCTCAGAGAGAGGTTGAAACAAAGATAACTGAATCTCGAGTTCAAGAACTTGAAGATACCGTGAGAGAAAAGGAAGCAAATATTCTAGAGAAGGAGATGCAGATTAAGACAATGGCGGATCAAAGAGAAGCTGACACCACTGAGCTGCAGTATTTAACAGAAAAGGCAGCAGAGCTACAAACTGAGTTGGAAAAGAAAGATGCAAGTCAGGCACAAGATGTTTATAGTCTTCAATTAGAAGTTTCTAGACTGGATTTCCAGGTGCAAGCACTGAATCAGAAAGAAGTAGCTTATTTGAGAGAAATCAAGGAACTACAAGGTAGCACTGCAAAACTGAAAGATCAAATCAAGGCCCATTTGAAAGAGCTTGAAGCCTTACGATCGGAAAGAGCTGAAGTTTCCCAGTTGGAGTCACACCAGCTAAAGGAGCAACTAGGTCACAAAGGGACTAACTTTCTCAAGCCATTCTGCCAGAGAGAAAGAAAAGGAGTAGTCCTTAAAAAGGGAATGGAGGAATTAGAAGAACTGGAAGCAAATAATGATCAGTCATTCCCAGTACTGGCTTCCCCTACTGCTAAACTGGTATATGATTTGTTTCTTAATAGTATTTTTTTGTTGTATAAAGACTTACAGTTGATCCTTCTGTGTGCTGTAAGAAAGGGAGAAGGTGAATACTGTGACATAAGGATGGCTGTGGTGAGTCAGTTGAAGGGTCTGTCTGTCTCTGTCCTTTCTCCAGCAATAGCTACAAATGGATGCCTGGAAGGGCTAAGAATAGGGCAAGCACCCACAGAAACCTTATCCAGCTTTTCTGAGCTGGGTGTGGTTTTGACCCTGGATCCTAAGGTATGTTTTGGGTGTAGATTACAAGGAGATGGCAGTGGGGGAGCTGCAGGGGGCCCAGGGCTGCTCCATGCTGGGCACAGCTATGTCCACCACAGGACACAGCCAAGCCCACTATCCATATATGTATATTTTTTCAGGCACTGCCTGAAACTCATATTTCAGAGACCAAAATGCTGGACAGGCAGTGAGGAGTAAGGGGGGGAAAAAAGTGTGAGAAAGAGCCCACGGAAAAGACCATGCTAGAGCAGAGGTAGAAGCAAGAGGAGTTTGGGATCAATGAGCAAGCCTGGGAGAAAAGGTGGGAGGGAGCTCTTTCAGTATTTGTCTTTGTTTCTTGCCATCCAGCTGCATTTGAGTGGCAATAGATTAAATACGTATTCCTCAAGTACAATCTGTTTTGCCTGTGAGAGTAGTTAGTAGGTGATATCCCTTTCTTTTTCTCCATCCATGAGCTCTTTCCATCGTATTTTTTCCCTCCTGATCTGTTGAGGAGGGAGACTGAGAGCGCAGCTGGGTGGGCATCTGCAAGCCAACCAAGGTCAACCCACCCTGACCTACCAAGACTGTTTGCCATCCTTTATGGCTGTATTGGAGAACTACCTGAAAATACTTTGTCTCCTTTTTTGTTGTTTGTTTTTGTTTGTTTGTTTGTTTGTTTTAGAAATCTGTGACTCTTTCTTGTAATTATTCTGAATCTTTCCTAGAACCATTTGCTCCAAATAACCTGATCTTATTAAACTCAAATCACTCAGTTTTAGAGAGCAGTAGGACCCAGGTGACCCTTTTTTCAAAGAGCTGTCATGCATTGACTTACCATCTTTTAAGGCTGGCTTATAGAGGTGATAAGTGTTAGTAAGAGGGCTTGTATGAAAAAAGAGTTTGAGTGCTTATGTGGATTTTGGGGGTCCTGATTGGCAGTATGATATGGATATAAACATTCAAGGTAGTTGACTTATTTAAAGAAATTATAGGATAAGTACCATGTAAAATGACGTGTTAATTCTTGAAGCGGAACGAAGAGTGTAGCTGTGCAAAATGTGACCATTCCTGGTGCTTGTATTTTTATCTGCCTAGAAGTTCTAGTTTGCATCAGTGCCATTTGCCTAGGCGATACTGTACATTCGGGGTCTGTCCCAGAAATCCCTCAGGAAAAGGAAACAGGTGGGAAGAGTGTTGAGTGACCTATGCAGACTGATATACTTCAGACCCCTGAATGTGTCTGTACAAGGCAGCAGACTTCTGTCTGATGGCTACTGGACCATGTTGCTTATACAGGTAGGGATTGTTTAAGGAACACAAGTAACTTAGGGTTCAGTGAAGAGAGAGCTGGCAAAATTTTGAGGGACATAAAGCTTCGCTGGAATTCTGAGGGCAGTTAAATGATTTAAAAATAATTTTTCGAGTAGAAACTCAGATTCTGAAACGTTTAATTGATGTCTATATGTCAGTATTATGTATTTCCATAGTTTAAGTGCTAAGAGTTTTAAAGTAGGCTGAGGAGGGATGGTCATCAAAGTTGGAGAATGTTGAGTCAAAATAAGTAAACTATTGTGTCTTCAAGCATTCATTACAATAGACTTTTTCCTATGGATATGCTCATCCCAGTATTGGAAAAAGTACAATATTGGCAGCATTCTTAGAGGAGCAAAGAACCCTCATACTGTTATTCTTGGGTTCAACAGTGGAGACAGTGTGAAAACCAGGAAATGTAGTAAAATGAAAGCTGGAGGAGCAGTGAGAAGAGGGAAGTACTTGCAGCCAGCACTAGGCTTAAAATAGGCCAGGACTTAGCTAAGAGGGATGATTAACACAAAAGGATTAAGGTGATGGTCTAAGACGAGAGAGAAAACAATTATTCACTATATCTGACAATGTAAGAGGTATGGAGGATGAAATTAAATTTCCATGTTGACAGATTTAAAATAAACTAAAATATCTTCTCAAATAGTGCATCATTTAGATTCAGCCACAGAATTTAAGAGGTCAAAATTTTAGCTTAAAATTACTTAGATGGAGCGCCTGAAGGAAAAAAAATCACCCAATTTTAAAAGATCTTTTTTAAACACATTTCTCAGCTTGTAAAATCATATTCAAATTCCATTAAACAATTAATATGTGTTATTTCATTGTAGGAAAAAGATGAAGTTCTGTTTGACTTGACAACTCACAGCACAGATCCAAAAGCTCAGATTAAGCAATCACAAGAAAACATCTTGCTTCAGGAGTTGGACGTGATCTACAGCTCTGAAGAGGATCAAGATTTGAAAAAGCATTGCCAGCAAATGCTGGAAATTCATCAAACGCCTGACTCTCCAAAGCACAATTTGGACACAGACAAAGACATTTCAAAAGACTTTCAGAATTTAGTTGCAAGTATGTGTTCCTGGGGCTCGCCTGAAATCATGAGAAAACAAGATTCAAGCATGGAACTTCAACCAGTGCTTCACCTGACGCCCTTTTCAGAGGTTGAAAACACGAATTTTGAAATTATGCACACAAGGTCATCCCTGCAAGGAGATAATTCTGTGTCACTGGGATATTCTAGGCTGGCTGACAATGGTAGTGGGGATGCAGGGGTGGGAGTAGACAGAAAATCTCCAGCTTTCTCTGAAAGCACCTATTCTGTCGATGATGACGAAGACATGCGGAAGAAGATTTTGGTAAGTGTTATTTCAAGTCTGGTTTAATTCTTATTAAACAAGACTGCTCAGCTCTGTCCCCCTGGGATCCTTGATGGGCCATTGGCTCCAAGGAGTAGAAACCTACACAGTGTTGGGGGTGGGTCCAGTAATGTTGTTAATTCCTCTCTTACTGTGATAATAACTGATAAACTTGATAAAGTTTATCAACTTGATAAAGTGTGATAACACTTCATGTGCCAGAATTGAGCTAAAACCTGTAAACCCTTTGCTACCACAGTACTCAGTGTACTGAAACAGCTCCCCACTTACAAATATCTGTTGTTGAGTGTTAGCAGAGTCTCTTTCAAAATTGGAGAATAAAGGGATTTTTTTTTAATGGAAATATTTTATATATTATGTATGTGTATATATATATATTTATATATTGTCTATATCCTGTAATTTCACAGGAAGATAAAGTCTGTACTTAAGAAAATTTATTTTCAGTTGTATATTTTTGTGCCTTGCTTTTGAGGGGCAATTAAATATAAATACATGTCTGTTTCTTAAGACTGTTAGAAGAGGGAAAAATTGAGATGGAATGGCTTCCAGAGAGCACCAGGGTTGCATTCATCGTGGTATTTGCCATTTCTAATATTATGATCAAGTAGGCATTTGCTAAGATCTGCACTAGTAACAAAGTTATCATGAATGCAGAAAACAACAGCTGGACTCAGAAAACTAAATAAATGTGAAAATTCTATTTCCAAGCAGATGAGAGAGGCTGATAATCTGACTTTAACCCCTTCTGATTTACAAGATGATGTAAGATCAAGAGCATCTGTGATGAGCAGTGGATGTGGCAGCAGTAAGTTTAACTTTGTAGATTCACCATATGTTAACTTTATTATAAAAACATTGTTTTTCCTCTTTCTCCCATTTTCTTTTAGGTCTCTTATTGGAAAGCTGTGCCTCTGGCAGGGTGTTCTTTGTTTAGAAACATTTGTATATTTGTGCCTGCTTTTACCTTCTCATCTTTATATACTGAAAAGGGGGCAGGGGGCTTGAGTCCTGATTTTTAACTACAACACTTTTCTCTGGTGCTAAACACAACTTCTTGCCTTTTAACTTGTTTAAGTTAGTTAAAATCTTAACCAACCAACTTGATCTGACCCTGCATTCAGACTGGGAGAAGCTATCATGGTTATTTTGCAAGTGGTTGTTCTGGTTTCAGGTTCTTTTCATATTTATAAAACTTGTGGGCGTGGGGGGGTTGTCTGTTCCTTCAGATACCAGCTCAAGTTTGGCAGCTAAACTAAAGCAGGAGCTCCAAACATCAGACCACCTAGATGCCAGTGTCATGGCTTATCTGCGGTACCGTGGAGCATTCCCAGATATTATGGAATCAATGAAAGAGAAGGAAGTACTTTCACCACAGCTGAAGGTAATGTATGATTAATACAAGCAGAGCAGCAGATTAAAACTGGACGGCGAAAATGAAGTGCTAACAGGAAAGGGAGTTGGCTGCTACATTTAGGCTGAAAACTGCCCTGCAATGCTTTAAACTTTGAGTTGGTTATGGTTCTTGAGTCATTTTTCATCTCTTGTGGCAAAATTACTGGCATTTGCTTGTGCTTGCTGCAGCTGAACTAGTTTTGCTAGGACAGCACTGGTGATGTTTCAGAATGTGGTGGTTCAAGGGCTGGTTGATCTGTTTTATGGGTTTGTCTTGGAGGCTTCATAGAAAGCTGTTTCAGGGGCAACCATAGCTAGCTGAGATCATACTGCCCTGCCTGTTCTTGTCATTCTGATGTGATGGAGAGCTGTGGAAACACCTTTGCGAGGTGTGGAGGGATATTTCAGAGTCAGTTCAAGGAGCATGAGGAATACACAGAAGACTGAGCAGTAGTGAGTGCTCACTCTAGACAGAAAGGCAAAGCTGAGGAAAGTGTGTGCCTGGCATTCTTTGGTTTGGTGAACAAGCTGAACAAGCTCTCAGCCATTCCAAAAATTCCAGCTGTGGAAAGGGAGAAATTCTCACCTATGAGGCTGATAAGTGCAGTAGGTTATAGTGAGTTCTTGAGTAATAAGAAACTAGAAGAAATACACTTCCTAGAAAGTGAGTGCTGCCTCCTAATACACTTAGCAGGTTCTTGCAGCTTGCTCAGCACAGTGTAGGAAGATTTGTGCAGTGCAGTAAGGCAGTGCAGGGGCAAGGCAAGCCTGAATTCAAACTAACTTCAGCTGACTGACACAAAACTCCCAGGATGAAGGAACTGGGCCTTCATCGCTACTCAAGTCAGAAGGAGGAACCTTCCCCTGCCCTCTGCAGGGGCCCTTCATAACAGACATGATGTTCTAGGGTTGGAGAAGGAAGAGCATGTGGAGTAACTGGAGTGATCCAGGAAAAGCCAACCATGCAAAGCTGGTGCAACCACCCGCTGGCATTAGAACCAGTGCTACCAGAAAAGCACATAAGGTGTTTATTAATTGGAGATTCCTTACTGAGAGGCACTGAAGCACCCAGTGAGGGCCGTGGGGCACTGGCACAGTTTGTGCAGGGAGGTGGTAGATCCCTAGAAGCATTCAAAATTAGGTTGGATGGGGCTTTGAGCAAACTGAACTAATAGAAGATGTCCCCCGTGCCCGTGGCAGGGGAGGTGGACTAGATATTGTCTTTAAAGGTCCCTTCTAACTGAAAACCATTCTATGATTCTGTATCTAAAAAACCAATAATTCTCTAAAGCGTAGTCTCAGAGACGTCCTAGAAGAGTGAATTTTATTTTACCTTAATTAACAGATTTATTTTTTTATTTAGTTTCTTTTATGGATCATCAATCTAGACTTTACTGGCTGTAAGATCTGAGTGCATATTCCAGTACTAAATGTTTTGTTTAAACACTTTACTTGTGCTTCTGATGTTGTTGTTCGCTAAAGGTTCTATTGGTTCTTGAAGTAATCACTATTTTGGTTCCAGTGATGGAAAAGCAACTCAAGTTGGTTCAAAAGTTAAGTCATTCAAATAAGTGCAAGGAAAGAATATCAAGAGTTAAAGAAAAGTACTCTATGTTGTTGTTGTTGTTGAAGTGAGTAGCAGTGAGGAACAGCTTCACATGGAAGCTGGCATATTTCTAATGAGATGTGTGTAAGAAAAGGACCTAGATCTCCAGTGACCTTCCTTGAAAAGAGGCCAGGAAACATCTGTGCATGATGTAATAGTTTGCGAAGAGGGAATTTATTTAAAATATATTATTTGGCCTGACAGTGTCAGAGGCAACAATTTCCACTGTGTAAATTATTAAAACTGATTATTTTGGGAGATGTTATTTGTACATAATTGGCTAAATTAAGCCAAAGTTGTCTAAATACATAACTCAGTTTTCTGGTGGTTTAGCTACGTGGCTTCAGACTTGACAGAATTTCATTTATTCCCAGGAAGGTTAGCTAAATAGTTCAGAAACAACACAGTGAAAGTACAGCCCTCTGGCATAATTGTATATTAATAACTTATGCTTAATTGCATATTAGCGTGTTGATGTACACAGCCACCTTATTTTTGTAGTGCTGTCCCATTCTGTTCTTACACTCTCCCAGGATGCTGATGCCTGTTTCCATTTCTGGTTTGTTTGTTTGTTTTGTTTTTTTTTTACCTTCTCAGGCTGTGCTGAAGATGGTATACGAGGAGAGCCGCAAAATATTGGCTTTGTCAGAACATCCCTTTGGTTTCAGGGAGCTGAAGGACGTTCCTCAGACCCAAGCGGCGGTGGAGGGCTGGCAGAAGGAGGGCTTAGCCCTGCTGGATGCTATACAGTCCCTGAGGGATTACCTTGGCAAGGTGGCAGAGAGAGGAGACAAGGTATGGCAACCAAATATCCTTTAAAACAGGGTAACCTGGTTTTTTATATATAGAAATGTATGTTGTTATGAGGTTTGTGTGTGTGTGTTAGGAGTAAGGGACTCTTTTCCCTTCTAAGATTCGAAAAGTACTCTTTAAACACTTTTGGTCTGCTTAAGTTAACAGGTATACTCTTACACAGTAAAGGTATGAAAGACACTGGGTTAGAGATTGAGAGAGATGCCATTTAAAAAAGAATTATTTTAACAGGAAACTTCAGGTGTTGCTGCTGACTGGAGAGGAGAGCTTCTGCAAGCAGTACAGAGCGTGTTTGAGAAGGAGAGAAGCGTGTTGCAAATTGATTTGAAGTCTCACTTCTCCAATCCTGCATCTGGTGATGCAGGTTCATTAATGGAAAAACTGGAGTATATAATGAAACAGCAAGTAAGAAAATCTCTTAAAGTGTTCTGCCCATAAATCACTTCTTTATTCCCTATTATTTCTTTTAAAGTTGTGTTTTGTTTTCTTTTTTTTTTATTGCTTCTGTTGTTAAATCTTATCTTGTGTATTAAAACAGATGGAGTGGGATCAGTAGGCTTTTAGAGTCTCTGCTTTCATACCATTTTTCCCAGACTTTGCACATTGTGCTACAAAGCCTATTGGTTATTTTAACTGACTCCAGAAAGACTGGAATAGCGAGTAAGAAATATTTGATAGAATTCTTTCCTTCCCTCCCATTTATCTAGAGCTTCACAGACCTCTCTTGCCAAGGATATATATCGAACTAATTCCGAATCTGGGATTTTTTTTGTCGATAATATTTAGTTTTTAGGTTGTGGTCAGATAGTCTGTAGTAACTGTTATGTATTAAACAATGTAAAGCAAGTGAAGTGGGGGTTTTCTTACATAACGTTAACATTTGAGTTAATATGAAGCATAAACTTTATACAGTGCTTTTGTATAAAACCTGTACTGCTGCTGGAACCCTTTCCTTAGAGTTTATCTTTGCAGAACACATGGAAATAGCCTTGTGGATTGAACAGGCCTTGGTTTGTTTCCAGGAGGAGCAGAGGCAGATGGTTGTAGAGCACCTTTTCTCCTCGGACCGGAATAGCTTGCTCTCGGAAATCCAGGACCTCCGAGCTCAGCTCCGCATGACACACCTGCAGAACCAGGAGAAGCTCCAGCAGCTACAGGAAACTCTCACCAATGCAGAAGATCACGGGAACAAACAGGAGCACCACCTTCGGAGGAAAGGTAACTCTTATTATCTGTCTGCTGCATCAGTTCTTTCTGACTTCTGCCTCAGTTCCTTTTTGCCTTGAAGGTAAAAAGCAAAAAAAAAGATGTTTTGCAAAGAAGCAGGTGCCGTACAGTTCTTCAGTTTTAGTAATGCACTCAGGTTGCTACCATGTGAGCAGAGGAAGGGATTTTTCTTTCTAATATCAGTAGTAAAGACAAATCTGTGAAAAGCAAAGAGAAAGCCAGACAGAGAGGGACCTGGGAGTTTGGATTGACAGGAAGCTGAACAGGATCCAGCAGTGTGCCCAGGTGGCCAAGAAGGCCAATGGATCCTGGCCTGGATCAGGAACAGTGTGGCCAACAGGTCCGAGGAAGTGATTCTTCCCCTGGACTCAGCACTGGTGAGGCCACCCCTGGAGTGCTGTGTCCAGTTCTGGGCCCCTCAGTTCAGGAAGGACATGGAGGGGCTGGAGCAGGTCCAGGGAAGGGCAACAAGGCTGGTGAAGGGACTGGAGCACAAGTCCTATGAGGAGAGGCTGAGGGAGCTGGGGCTGTTCAGCCTGGAGAAGAGGAGGCTCAGGGGAGACCTCCTCACTCTCTGCAACTCCCTGACAGGAGGGGGGAGCCAGGTGGGAGTTGGTCTCTTTTCCCAGGCAACTATCAATAAGACAAGAGGGCTCGATCTTAAGCTGTGCCAGGGTAGGTTTACTTTAGATATTAGAAAGAATTTCTTTACAGAGAGGGGGGTCAGCCGTTGGAATGGGCTGCCCAGGGAAGTGGTGAATTCTGCATCCCTGGAGGTTTTTAAGATGAGACTGGATGTGGCATCAGTGCCATGGTCTAGTGACCGCAGCGGTAGTGGATTAAGGGTTGGACTTGATGATCTTGAAGGTCCCTTCCAACCCAGCTGAATCTATGATTCTATGATTCTATGAAACTTTAAAATAGCCTGAAGCAATAGAAGCCTGTATGCAAGTAGTGCATACAGGAAAAAACCCAGCAAGGACAGTAAAATACCCCTGTTTGTTTTCAGGAAATTGTTTATATATATGTTTGCTAGTATGGAATCACAGAATCATTTAGGTGGGATAAGACCTTTAAGGTCGTGGAGTCCAGTCATAAACTTAACACTGCCAAGCCCACCCCTAAACCATGTGCCTGACTAAATAAGCAAGCCTGCAGGTTCACTGCAGGTTCCCTTTAGATAATAAAGAAACCAAATGCAAGTGTCCTTGATCAAATAAACATATCTCTTCAAAGCAAAGCACTGCTTTTTCCTTGTTTTTGCTTTTTCCTTTACTATCATTCAGCATTCAGCCACTTAAAAACTTATTGATACCAACACATGCACTGTCCAATAGAGGGAATTCTCTGGAAATCCACAAGTTTATTGCTAGTTTTGTTTACAATAAACATATTTACATTACATAATACTGCAGACATAGGTACATTCATTTTTTTTTAAATACTTATCAAATGACAACCTCCAAATTTGGGGAAAGTTGTTTCTAGTACTGAACAGAGCTGGCAAAAGATAGGTTTTATTTAGTGACTCGTGTCATAAAATAGGTCTGTAAGTGGATAGGTTTGCTTGGGGTTTAGAACCCATTAGTAACAGGTTACTTACAGTATATCACAATCATAGAGTCATAGTCTCACCCAGCTTTGATGTTGTGCTCGCTTTGCTTGGTCCATTAGCAGCAGAGCTGCAGTGTGTTTGTGCATCTTTCCTTTCATGTTTTGAAAGAAATTAATTCTCCAGACAAGAACACTTTAATACAGCTGATTTCCCCCCCTCCCCCCAATTTGAATTAGTGTGACATAATATTGTCAATTTATCTATAATGTAAGTAAGTGTTAATGTTTTCTTGTCCTAGTTGAATTATTGGAATATAAGCTTCAGCAGGAAAAATCTATTGTAAGTGACTTGCAGAGCACTCTCTCCGAAGAGCAGAAAAGAGCCTCTGGAACATGTGATCTCCTGAACCAAGAAAAAGCAGCCCTGAAATCAGCACTTCATGAAAGTAAGCAAGAGAATGAAAGGTTGCAGAAATCCCTGGAAGAGCTTCAGAGGGAAATAAATCAGTTACGGTGAGAAGTAGATTTATTAATTTATTTGATTTATCAGCAGGTCTGAGAGAGCTTTGTAGTAATTGGACACACAAATGGCTTAACACTTGGAAACATAGGGAGGAAAACTAACCTCTCTCACTTTTCTGGGATATGTTTTCTTTACTAGCTTCTGTCATCCCTGGGTATGTTTCCTTCCCCACTCCCTTCCTAGTGTATGCCAATGTTTTTCTTTCCTCTCACAGGACAACAGCTTTGCTCTGCCAGGACAAATAACTTCTCCCTATCTTAGTTGTTACTAAATAGAGCAATTCTTCTAGCTTGGCTTGCAGGGAGGTAAATGATTTCAGATGCTAAATAGTTGTGACTTGAAAACTGACTCTCTTTAGAAAGAGCAGAGGCCACCTTGAAGAAACAAGTCAATAGACCAACTCAGAGAAAACAACCCAAAATGTCATGTTGGCAGTTGCTGGTGAAGGATGTTTTGTTCTGAACACAGATATGTCATTTTGAACTTGACAGTTTTGAACTGGAAAAGAAAGGAAAGGATTTGGCAGCTGCACTTGGAGACTTGCAGGCTGAACAGCTGAAGGAATCTGAGCTCCGAGGTTGGTTTGAGGAACAACAGCGTCAGCACAGGAAAGCAGAGGATGAAAAGACAAAGGCTCTGGAGGTAACGCCCAGTTCCCTTGGGGCATGACGTTAACTAGCAGGTTATTTATGCAATCTTTTTTTTGTTTAGTAACTGTTAAACTCCCCCAAGCCTCTTCTGAATGTGCACAGTGCATTTTTTACACAGAATTAAAGCTTTCAGTTACTTTCATTAATTGCACGTGCAGAAATAAACCAAAATTGTAAGCCTTTCCCCCCACATCTTCTTAGTGTTTTCCCCTTTCCCATTTTCTGTTTTCAGCTGTTGTGTACTGCCCCTTGCTGAGCAGGGACAGCCAGATTCTGCAACTGTGGAACGACACCCTTAGTTCCAGAGCAAACTTGCCATAGGGGTGTGACGTGTATGATCACTGAGATTATAAAGAAAACCACCCATTGATACATAGGCTTGGCAGAGAGCAACTGGAGCCTTTCCAATATAACATTCATTTTTTGGAGGTTAAACAAAGTCTTGTTCCCTTCTAAATTGAACAGAAAACAAGTGAACAGCTTTCTCTCCAAGACTGTGATAGCAATGACTCAGTGCTTTTAAAAAGCCTGCAGTGACTGGAAAAGGAAGAAGATTTAACATAAATTATTTTTTGAACTTAAATCCCCAAACTAATCTGTATCAAAGAACTCCAAACAATCCTAATTAAATGTCGCGAGGAAACACAATTCTGACTATTTCCTTGTAGCCTGGCTTCTCCCATCCCCTTTCTGGTAGGTGTTTAGGTTTGTGGATGGGTTTTGTTGGGATTTTTGTTATTGCTGCATGGTAGGACATGTTGCTAACATCCTCCATCTTTTTGGAAAGCTGCTCATGCAGGGAGGGCAGAGACCAGGAGAAAAGTGCATTGCCCCAAGGGTAGTTGTACAGCAGATTAGTCTGGCTTTCACCAATCATCTCTTAAAGCCCTGTTATGGAATGGGGCTGCTGCCACTTGGCATCTGACCTGGCTTTCTAGGAGAGGAGAGGGAGAGGTGGTGCTGGGAGGGAGAGGCAGGGTAAACCCCCCTCCTAGGACAGCAGTGCTATGTCTGACTGTCTGCAAGTGCCCTGGAACTGCCCCTTCAGTCTCTGCCTTTCCTTCTGAAGAGAGGCTGGCTCCCAAAATGGACCTAGGGATGGATTTTAAACTGAAAGAGGGTAGGTTTAGATTAGGAATAAGGAAGAAATTCTTCCCTGTGAGGGTGGAGAGGCCCTGGCACAGGTTGCTCAGAGAAGCTGTGGCTGCCCTATCCCTGGAAGTGTTCCAGGCCTGGTTGGATGGGGCTTGGAGCAACCTGGGCTAGTGGAAGGTGTCCCTGCCCATGGCAGGGGAGTTGGAATGAAATGGTCTTGAAGGTCCCTTGCGATTTAAACCATTCTGTGATTATTTTTGTCAGACTCTATGCTTTAAAGAGATGGGCTGCAAAATCCCAAGGTTTTACATCTACTCTTACTGCTTAGATTTTTCTTTTTAAAACAACATGAGTTATTGCTGCTTCAGATGTCACTTATAGTGGGGCTGAGTGATGCAAAGAATAGTGATGAGGCTTTTACTAATTGAAGAAGAAATAATGTGCTGGCAAATATATTAACATGACAATCTTTGGGTTTGTTACTTGGTGCCAGGTTGCTAATGGGCATTTTTCTGTCACTCACAGTTTTAAATTCATCTTTTAATACCTGAACTACTCTATTGTAAGTCTTGAATATCTTCCTGGTTAAAACAGGAGGCTGGAAATCGCCGAATGCCAGCCAGCCCCACAAATGAGTGCTTGTGCTGGAATATTGATGTGTTCTCCCCTGTCCTGCCCAGGAGCTGCAGGCTGCCCTGGACGTGCAGGCGGTGCAGAATCGGCAGCTGGCCGTGTCCTTGGAGCACGAGAAAACAGTGACCGATAATCTCCGCAAGGAGCTGCAGATCGAGCACTCCCGCTGCGAAGCGCTGCTGTCCCAGGAACAGACCAAACTCCGGGAGCTACAGAAAAACTTGGATGCTGAGAAGAACCGTTCATTGGAGCTCCTGGATTCCCTGAACCACGAACGTGTTCTGACAGAGCAGCTGAGCATGAGAGTGAAAGAAGGTGCTTCCTGTCAGCACAGGGAGCTGCTGCTGGAACAAGCCTTCGTCCAAGAGCTCCGAGCCCAGCTGGAAGAAGAGAGGTCCCGGACTGTGGAGCTAGCTGCTCTTATTGAGAAGATGCACCAGAAGGCCATTCAGTCCAAAAGGCAGCTGGAGGCTGAGGTACAGATGTGCTGTGAGGAAACCCAGAAGGAGAGGGAGGTCAGCGACAAACTGCGAGCCACGCTGGAGTCTCTTCAGGCTCAAAAGCAAGAGGTGATCCGTTCCTTGGAGGCCCAGAAGGAAAGAGAGGCCAAGATGAAAGCTGACTGGGAACAACTGCAGTCGCTCTTCAAGATGCTGAAAGAGCAAGACAAGCATAAGAAAGAGGAGAGGGAGAGAGAGTGGAGACAGCAGCAACAGACAGAGCTAGAGAAACAGAAGGACTGGCAGAGAGATCAGGAGAGAATGGTGAGAATGTCTGTGTGAGTCTTGCCTTAGATTGAAAAAGCCACCCGTTGGGATTTAGCCCTGTGGATGATGTTCTTTAATTGAAATGTTTCCCTCTGTTAAACAAAGCATTCTGGAAAACGCATTAGATGAGCTCTTTTCCTGCATTTCTCAGTGCTGTTTTCAGGGGGTTGTGTCTGGGTTTATTGTTGACAGAGGTTGATCTTCATATCTTTACCTGTGCTGGGAATTGCTGGTTGTTCACAGGTGGAGAAGAATAGGGGTTAAACTATGCAGGATGGGACTAAACTGGGTTTCATGCCATTGCCCTTATTTTGAACTGGGCTCCTAATCATGGCTTGTGACAGTATTGGTTTCATCCTTCTAGTTTCTCAGCTCCTTCACTTGTAACAGAGGAGAGAGGTTTGCAGGCTCTGTGGAGACTTGCCAGTAGGAAGGTGGATGGAGTTAATGCCCACTCCACTGTCATTAAATGGCTTCCTGGTGGCCCCCGAAGGCAGTGCTCTAGGCCTTCCCCCAAAAGTGATCTGTGAGTTAAGGAACACCCAGATGGATATGCTGGTTAGGTGTGATGTCTGTGTATGCATAAGATGCAATTAACTACTACTTACTCTGTTCAAATAGCAAAACTTGGAACGGCAGCACCAGAGGGATGAACAAAGAATTAAAGAACTGCAGAAAATGCTGGCAGTATTAGAAGAAAAAGAAAGAAATCCTCCAACTCCAAACTGTCAGCAAGAGCTGTTGTGTACCTCAAACAAAGATGGGAATGCCAGACAGGCTGTGACAAAAGAAACTGGAAAACCCCATTTGCAGCAGCAGCAACAGCTGGAGAAGATAAGGCAGCAGTTGCTCTTTGTAGCTGTGCATCTGAACGAGTTCATCTATAAAACTCTAGATAAGTGAGTTCATAAAACAGTGGTTTACTTTCCATCCTGCTTCTTAACCTGCGTCGGTCATGGCTGAGAGCCCTGTGCTCTTTTAATTCTTAAAAATTAATGGAACTTGCTAATTTCTGTGTTTTTGGTAGTTTGTGTGATGAATAGTGCATGAGTAAAGCCTCAGAACTTAAAGGTCATCCAGTAGGGAGAAAGAATCAAATGTGCTTTAACATTATTACAAATCAACCTGATACTGAAAAGGTATTTCTTTTTAACAGAACGGTTCACGATTGGTCTGCATCAAATGATGAAGCTGTGGCCTCTTTACTACAGACCTTAAGGGAACTAAAATCAGATTTATTGTCTCCTGCATCTCAGGTAAGGAAAATAGCATGTATTTGTTGATTATCACTAAGGTTTTCTGTATTCTTTGGATTGCAGCACACGTGTAAGTTGATTGATAGATTGATTGATTGATTGATTGATTTTCCTCCCTCCCATTTGCTTTTGAATAAAACATTCTGAGGAAAATTCTGGTTTGCCTTGGCAATGGGAAAGAAGGTGTACTCCTGTACTCACACTACCATTCTATTAACAAGTTTTAATATCCGACTCTTGCTGTTTTGTTGTATTCCAGGGTCTGCTTCTGACAGCAATTTTTTCTTAGATATGTAGCATGTCCAAGGATCACAAGCCCTGGGATGTGTTGCTGCAGTGTCTTAAGCGTCCAGAGACAGTTGTTTTTCATCAAAATGTCAAGTACTTTCCAAAAAAGCACAATAGTGGTTTGTCACCTTGGGAGGGCTCTTCTGACTTATATTTGTAGTATTGCAAATATTTTACACAAGCCGAGCTCAGGTCTGTTGATACAAAATACATCATGAAAACGTAACTTTTAGATTCCATCTGATTCCCCATATAACTTTGCACTTTTATGTCTTTCTCTTGTAATAGACAGAGATCTTTTACCACATTTCAGCCAAAATTTAGGGATTTAGGGCTAGCAGTCTCTGGCTTCTGTTTGATTCAGATTTCTATTCTCTCACCTGCTTGATCTCTAGAAAACACAGCTTTGAGAAGGAGTTATGGACTGTCTGAAACATGAAGATGGTTTTGTAGCTTCTGCCCTCCTGTGCTCTTGTAGCACAATTCTAATGTGTGACAAGCTGCCTGGGCATGTTGTAACTCTCCCTGTGTCTACCTGCTTACAAAATACAGTAAATATTTTCCTTCTGTCAGCTTTGCAGTCACATAGCTACATAGACTTCTCTGCTTTCTTTTCCGGCTTGGATTTTTTTTTTTTTCCTCCACAATCACCTTTTCCTTCAGTCTCCTTCCTGAATATCTCCTTCCTTTAATGTACTGAACCACATGGTCTGGAGACCAAAGGGAATTCACTGCTGTAGTCTCTTTGAGTCGTGATAAATGGGGGAATAGTGGACAGGGAACCTGGCAGAATGACAGAGTGAAAAATCTCTACCCAAGTGAATATGGAGTCATCTGGTCAATCAGATGCCACGTGGTGCAGTGGATATCAAGTGCATAGATGAATCATGTAGAACTCCTTCAGATATTTCAGCACAACCTTGTTAGGCTGTAATAAGTTGCTAGGAGAAACTGGGCTCAGTTGTGTATACTTCTCTAATGTACAGATTTTATTTCAAGGGATAAAACATTAACTGCCTTAAATTACTTTTATTTCTTTTATGATCTACACCATGCACTGATGTAACTGTTGACCATTACATTTGTAGTTGATACAAAGAGGGTTATGAAGGCAGAACTTTCATGAAGAGTTGGACCTGGAGTCCTGAGTCTCATTCTTACAAGAGATGACTTACCACAAAACTTAATTTCACAGAATCACAGCATGGTTTGAGCTGGAAGAGACCTTAAAGCTCATCTCGTTCTACCTCTTGCCATGGGTGGGGACACCTTCTACTAGACCAGGTTGCTCCAAGCCCCATCCAACCTGGCCTTGAACACTTCTAAGGATGGGGCAGCCACAGCTTCTCTGGGCAACAGTTTCTAAGGACTGAATGTGATTTTTTTTTTTTTTTAAGAATTTATTTCTGTAGATGCTTCACAGCTTGGTTTTGTGTATGTACAACTTGTTTTTGCATGTACACAGTCATCTTTCTTCACAATTTCTGTGCTGCCTGTGGATATAGAATAAAGTCAGATGATGTGTTTCCCTTTCGAAAGGTTCAGGAGACCGTTATTAAAGGGAATGGGATCCCTGCAAGGCTGATCAGAGAAGAGGTAGCTTGATGAACAAAAATTCCTTACTTCTTAAGAAGGGCTTCTCATGCAGTTCAGTTTCCTATTGTGCTGTTTAACACCTGAATGCCATTGCTGATTTTCAGGCTCATTATTATTATGTTTTAATTTGTCATAAAGTCGGGGTTTACTCGTTTTGAGATGTTTGATTGTGGAAGTAATGTGCAAAACCCATCGTGGCTCACTTCCTTTTGATTTCTGTTTTAGATCAGATCTGCAGGTGATGGTGACTCTGTTCAAGAGCTGGAAAGGGAGGCTTGGCAGCGAGAGAGGAACGTACTGCAGAACGCACTGAAACAGGCTGAATCCCAACTGGCAAAAGCAAATGCTGAGATTGAAAACAAACCAGTGGTAGAAACTTCCAATCCTAAGGTAAAATGATGGGGATGGCCAGAAAAGGGGCTGTCTGGAGCTTGGAGAGCCCCATCAGTGTCATTTCAGGAGATGTCATTTCAACCTGATTTGCTGGGGATAAAAGGATCTATCAGATGATGGTATTTATCTTTCACTTATTGCTGCAATCTCCGATTGCTGTTTTAAAAAATGATTTTATAGATTAACAGTTTTATGTGTTATTTTAAATTAGAAACTTTCCCCATATATACTTCATCAGAGAAGTTCCTTTGGAACTTCCTTGGTGGCAGACAGACTCTTGCACCAAAAGTAACCTGGATCTTTGGACTTTCTACCTGTAAATGAGAGGGAAACTCAGATTTCTTGTCTAAGCATGAAAATAGAAAACACCCATTATTTTTAAACCCCACCTCACTAATCTTAAGTACTTTTTAATCTTGATTGTAATCAAGTCTGATAGGCATCTCTCCCCACATGATTTCTGGCTATTTTTTTTTAAAGCCCATTTTATTTTCTTTGTTAAAGAGTTAAGCTGTTTTAGAGTTTTGAGTATCACAGTTTTGCTTGAAAGCAGTCAGGACATTTAAGGCAGTCTGGCACTCCAAACTTGGGTGTTCTTTACCTGTGTACAGAATTGTATCAACCTGGATGTTTGACCTGAAGATAGCTTGTTTGTGGCTGGGTTTTTGCAACAGCAGCTGTGACAAAATCAGAAATCTTCCTTTTCTTTCTGCAGTTACAGAGATTATACAGGAAGTACATTCGAGCAGAGAGCTTTAGAAAGGCTCTGGTTTATCAGAAGAAATACCTCTTGCTGCTTCTGGGTGGATTTCAGGACTGTGAGCAGGCAACCCTCTCTCTCATCGCCCGTATGGGGATCTACCCCTCGCCTGCAGACCTGCAGCTCTCTGGGTCCCGGTCCCGGCCTTTCACCAAGTTCAGGTGTGCGGTCAGGGCCATCATCGCCATATCAAGGTAAAGCAAAAACACTCCCTGTCTCTCATACGTGGTGTTTCCTTGGGAATTTCAAAAGTTGGTAGCTCCTGTGGCTTGTCCTGCATTAATGTTAAGCAAAAGCAGTCTCCGAAGCCGTTTCAAACGTGACTTGTTGTCTGAGTTTGATCCATATTAAACTAAAGATGTACAAAAAAGGTCTTTAAGGTGAAAGAGGGTAGATTTAGATTGGATATTGGGAAGTATTGGGCTGCGAGGGTGGTGAGGCCCTGGCACAGGTTGCCCAGAGAAGCTGTGGCTGCCCTGTCTCTGCAAGTGTCCAAGGCCAGGTTGAAGCAACCTGGGCTAGTGGAAGGTGTCCCTGCCCATGGCAGGGGGTGGAATGAGCTGAGCTTTAAGGTCCCTTCCAGCCCAAACCATTCCATAATTTTGTGAAAAAGCTGCAGTATGTTTTGGAACCAGTACACAGCCATTACAAATTGAAGTCCTTTCAGGGCTGACCTCCTTGGTCTCCCTGGATAGTTTGTCTTGTATCAGAACGTGATCTGTCAGGGACGGTTCTCTCTGGAATCCAGCAGCCTGTGTTTCCTTGGGCGTGATTCTGTCATGCTCTGTCACTACCAAATGGGTTTTCTTAGCTGTTTGTGAGACAATATGCCATCTTCTAATGGCTTTTAAGTCCATTTAATAAAAAAGAAAGTAGTTTTAAATGTAATAGGTGGTTATTTCTGAGCGATTTCCTTGTCTAGTAAAAATGATTAGTCGCAAGTTTCTTTCAGGAGTTGACACAATGTCTTTGATGTGAATACCATAATGATGGCAATATCAGCAGTGACCTCCAAACTCCTCTCAGGTAGGAAGAGCTGCCACAGAGCTCTCTCTAGAGATTAGGAACAGAGAGGAGGAGCACAGCCAAAACAGGCAAGCCTTTCCAGCAGGTCAAGGATCATTGCAGGGTAAAATGGGATAAACCTACATTCCAAAGACTGAAGTTAAAGAATCCTCCCTTCATTCCCCCAGGGATTGTTACTTACATTGTTTAGTGTATTCTGTACCAATACAAATAATATTAAAATTTACTGTACTTTTGTGTATTTTTAATTCTTGTACAAATTTGTTCTCTTACTAAGGTTAAAGTTTTTGGTGAAAAAGTGGAACAAAGTCAGCAGGAAGAGCGCACAGGGTGAAAGCATTTCTCACAGTGTAGGAGGTAACACAGGTAAGTGTTTGGACAAGTGCGTTGTTTTTATTGCAATTTCTCTTTAGTGATGTGTTTCATTTGAAAGTGTCAAAATCTGTTTATTTTGTGGAGCAGATGGATGGATGGTCTGATGTAGGTCAGTAAGGACTTGAGTTACTTGAGGAACAGTTGACTGTTCCTTTGAGTTACTTATGGGTGTCTTTGTAAGAATTTCAACCAACATCTTAATACATCACCCAGTACTTTGAACTGTCTCCCTTAATGTAATATTCCATTACTTGTGCCTTTTCAACACTAAACAAAATTCAGATGAAATAGTGTATTTTGCATTACCTGATACTACATAATTTTCATTGTTTCTAAATTGCTGGGAATATTTATTTTTAGAAAAAGCACCAAGTTCTTGCATAAGCCCGCTGTCATGTGATTCCTAGGAAACTTGAATGCTCAAATGCTGAACTTTCTAAAACCTCACTACAAAATAGTGTCGAACTTCTGTTAAATCCGGTTTAAAAAAAAAACAACAAAAAAACCCAAACCAAACCATAAAAGCAATTAGCTGTAGAAAGTGTATTTATCTGCATTCAAACCCAGACTTTACTGTATTCTGCTGTGGTTCTCGTGGGTGTATTGGATGTGTTTCTGACAGCCTGTTCTGAATGGTTCCCAGCGCATGTTTTTTAACCCTTTCCTATTTGCCACAGCCTCTGGTGCTAGAACAGAAGTTCTGAAAGAGCAGCAGCCCCCGGCTGTTCCCATCAGCTCTCCCCCTACCCGGGACAGGGACATGGGGCTGTGCCACAGAACCAGCATTGCAAGATTTGGGAGCCTCTCCCCCCGATCCTCTTCCCACTCGCACAACAGGTCAGTTGGACATCCCACAGACAGCCTTCCATAAAAATGGAACCACTCGTTAAAGGAGGTACTTGAACCAGAAGAGCAGTTTGTTTTCCTAGATCTAGTAAATGTTTTTATTTCTTTCAGGATGGTACAGGAGAATAAAGCTTCTTGTCTGCTTTAAGCATCGTGTCTGATGTTCTTGGACTGAGAGCATTCCTAGTGGTGTTCCCCAATTTAATTTGGGCAGAGCACAGAATTTATAGAGGCTGTGTCTGCTAGCCTGCTCTGAAGGGCAATTCTTGTTGCCTTTGCAGGAGTTGACATGGGAGGTAGCTGGTCTCAGTCCCATCATCTTGGAATGTGTTCTTTGTTTCTTAACCTCATGGCTAAATTAGAAACTCCCAACGATCAGGCAAGAATTTTCTTCGAAATGAAGAAAAAAAATAGCAGCAGAGAAGTAGCTGTGGTGATCCAGGGATACACAAAGACAGGAGATTCCCCAAATTATTGTAGGTTTTTTTAGCATTGCTGACTGATGTGGGGCACAGACAATGCTTGCCGTGACAGCCAGGTGGTGTTGTGGTTTGCATGGAATTTAACAAAACATCTTGGAGAGCTGGAGACCTGCAAGCATTCCCCAAAAGACTTAATTCTGCCCCACCCTGTTCCTCTGTCGTGACACGTGTCTGGGTCTGACGGCCCTGCCAAGGGAAGTCACCTGTGTGGTATGTAACAGGAGGTAAATAAGGCTGATGCTCAGTGTGGCTGAGTGAGTGGCAGCTCAGGCCTGATGTGGATCCAAGGTAGGCTAAACAATGCCTGTTGCTGCTCTTGTGTCCTGGCAAAAAGCTATACAGAAGGAAGGGATGGATAGGAGCTACCTCCTGCTAATGGAAAGGTGCAAGGAAAAGGAGTAAATCCAAACTACAAATAGCAGTGTCCCTTATGTCTGCTAATATTTGGAATTTGTTGTTAATGCCCAGAAGGGAGACCCATCTAAAGGGGCCCCTTTTTCAACCTTGGCCTTCAAGGTAGTATTTTCCCTGCTGAAGAGGAGCATGCACACCTTGATGCAGCTCCTCCTTGGTCCTTCTGTGCAGAGGGTCTTGTCTCACTTGGCCATTTGGACTCACTTCTAACTGCATCTTTCTTACCCAAGGGACTTTGTGTTGTGGTTAAGTAGAGAAAGATTCAGAGATACTCCAGCTTTTACCAAAACATCCTTTCTTTTGACTCCCCTGTATACAAAGCTACCCAGTCTATGTTGTTGTATACATAACTTTTTGGTGGTGGTGGTGTTTACTATTGTTCCACTTTTCGTTGCCTGGAATTCCTGCCTGTACGAATTCAACTTTACTGTGTATATTTGAGACTGTAGCATGAGAAGAAGAAACTAATTTGTCTTCCTTTTTAAGATTGCATCCGTCCCCAAGTTCAGCTTCAGAAAAGTCACTTGTGTCACCTCACGATCCCGAACGATCACTCACAGAATACATCCATCGCCTGGAGGTTATCCAGCAAAGACTGGGGGGGATGCAGCCAGGTAAGAACCACCTTCTTGCCCCCACAGCTCCCAGAAGCCTGGGTTGATTTTTGCAAGGTTCTGTTGATGGAGAGGTACAGAGACAAGGCAGATGATCAATTTGATCAAAGCAATGTCCAATTTATTATTTAAATCAGTTAACTTTTATACAGTTTAGTTTAGTTTGTTCAGGGTACACGCTCACAACAAGGTGATTGGATAGCTCAGTCTGTGCACGCGTCTCATGTCTCCAGTTCGTTGGACCTGATGTTCTGTCCATGTGACTTGAAATCATTCTTGGCACACAAAGCCCTTCCTAATTAATCTGCCTTTAGGGGCTTTCCGAAATCTGCAGGTGTACCTTTATCTCTAGTTTCTCAAGGCTTTCTTACTATAAACATACTATATTCTCAAACCATATAACCAGACACACAGCTAACAAGTATAAACACCGCGTATTTTCACACAGTCTGTAAGTATAAACATTACAGCTTACAGCTTCTGAAGCAATGTCAAGCAAGGCCTACAGAATGCAGAGAAATTGTTCAGAGAAATCTCTTTACTCCGGCCACAAGGTTCTTTGTACATATTGCCCATAAAGAACATCATTTTAGTGAATAATTATAATTATTGGTAGGGGACGACTAAGTAAGTTTCTGAAACTTTCGTGAATCGTATCTAAAACTAGTCCATTTCTCAAAATAAGTTCATAGTGAAATTCTTCAGAGATAAGGCTGAATAATTTAATGTGGTTTCTGTCCCCACTCCTGTTTCCAAGTCTAAATAAACGAGTGTTGCAGTTTAAATGAAGCTTTGTATAGGGTTAATTTGCTTTAGAGTCAAAGACAGCTGTTGTAATAGCTGAGCAGGGCTTTCTCTGCAGCACAGACTTCCCTTCCTGTCCTTCCCTCATTTATCACTTCCTTATGTTCCATAATAGATTAAAAAAAAAAAAAGATCTGGAGGCTGGTAAATCCAGCCATCTAGTTCTAAGCTTGATCAAAGAGCACACAAAGGATTGTAGTGGACCTTAGCTTTGCTATTTAAAACACTTCCACCTATTTTCTGGACTGCAGCCAAAAGCTGACCAGGTCGATATTTAGCTGTGGCACTGAGGGGATGTAGAGTGTGTTTGGATTCCTTCCCACACTGCACATACACACCTTACATTTTTCTTTGCCTAAGCATAACCATCATCACCTGCTGTTTCCCAGGTGGGCTTGCCTCCTGTAATTGTCCTTCAGCCTTTGCCCAAGTATATCACTAAAGTCAGCAGCTGCAGTGACAATACACATAGAAGGGTTTGGGTTGGAAGAGATCTTAAAAATCATCCCATTCCACCCCCCTGCCATGGGCAGGGACACCTTCCACTAGACCAGGTTGCTCTAAGCCCTGTCCACCCTGACCTTGAACACTTCCAGGCATGGCGAGTCCACAGCCTCTCTGGGCAACCTGTTCCATGGGAATAGTTTGGGAACTTCGACATTATTCTCAGCAGGGCTTTACCCAGAAACTCTATTACTATGACTTTGTGGGAGTTGGGTTCTTTTCCACAAATACTGCAGCTGCATGGCAGATACAGATAGATAAATAAATTTCAAACTTGAAACCTGATAGCCTTTATTGAAGGAAGGTATTTTGCTTCCAAGTGCGGAATAAGTACTCCATAACTGAGACACCATGAATAGAAATTCTGTGGAAAGTGCATATAATTTCTGTCATCTCCATGTTACCAGGACAATGATGTCAGGCATTACAGAGTGACATTGCAACCTTTAGAGCAGTTCTGTGAGCCAAATGACTTCCTAGTTTCTAATGAACTTTAGGACATCTACTCAGTGACAAGATCTTGCCCAGCAACAGAATCACCACAGGAGTGCCAAAGTCGAGCTGTCACTGTGGGTAAAGCAGGCCTGTGATGGAGCACTGGGCCCACTGTGTAAAGGTTTGCTTTGGCAGGCGTGTAAGCTTTCAAATCCTCTTTTGGATTGCTCCTAAGTGGCTCGTGAAAATGGGAATTGCTTTCAGTGTAGCTCGTGTGAGGCACGTTGAGAAAATTACATGCTGCTAACTGCACCCTGTCGCTTCATAACACAAGCAGTTTTCTAATATTCATTTGTTGGTTTTTTTTTTTAAATTTAGGACAAGTGCCAGGCTCTCCTCGTCAGAGAAGCATGAAGAAGTGATGGGAACGCTTATGAAATCTGTCCTGGGAGTTACTGCTTCCTTCTGAGCTGGTCCTTACTGAACAGAGGCACTTGCAATCAATCTCCTGTGCAACTGAATAAAGGGCAGTGCTTTTACAGCAGATTTTTATATGACTCTTTTTATTATATTTTAGTACTTAAGAGGGACTTTTCTCTGAGAATGATGTTTTACATTCTCATGTAAAATTACTATAAGTTAACAGCTGAAGTGTGACTGCATCACTGTCTTGTAAGCTGCAAAAAGTCTCTGTGGTGTTTATTTTTCTAGAGTGTATAGATGGATTCCTTGTAAAAAAAGTTATTAAAATGGCATTTCATTAGTGAATTCTTACATCGTATGGTTATTTGTTTTCACCTTACCTGTTTACTCATCTTGCTGTTCCTGAAATTGTTCGGGCTTTAATATTTCTGTAGGATCATTCTGACTAAAGGAACAGCTCAAATACTGTCACGAATATCAAAGATACCTGTAGCCATTTGTGAATTTAGGGTTTGCTCTTCTGGTCTGACAGTAAGTAAGTTCTCCCTCCCTCAGTCTGTCCTGTTTACTCTGGACACTTTTAGCTTCCTTTCTCTAGTTCAAAAGGCTCATAACTTCTATTTAACTCTCTGCATTTTTGGCCAAACCTACCAAACAAAACCTCTGAACTGTATCTATCTCTAGTGTAAGTGAAACTCCTGGTTGCAAATCCTATCCTCTGTCCAGTATCTTGTGTGCAGGTACCTTCACGGGGGCAGTTCCAAATGTATATGAAGTTGCTGGTCAGAGGAGAGGAAAGAGGCATTCTGGTGGTAAATCCATTTCCAATCACAAAGTCTCAGTGCAAAAATGAGAGAGATTCCAAATATCATGCTGAATAAGACTTCTTTCTGTGATACTTCTGTATTTCTTTAGAAAAAGTATAGGCAGAATTATAATACCAGAAATATTTTAAACCCCTGGAAACATGATCTACCTTTGAAGCAGATGTGGTATTTAACTTTGGAGCATCAGAAAAATCTCTTCTGGAGGCAGATTATTCTACTGCAGCCTGTTACAAGATTTTTGTCTACAGGGTATTGACAGTTATATACTGGTGTTTGTCTCAGATTGTTTTATTGCTTATTTAACTTCTTTTATCCAATATTGGTCCTAGTAAGCCCTTATGTATCTGTCAGGTAGATCACCATTTAGTTCTCTGGAAAAAAAAAGGTGGTAGAGATAGAAGATTGAAGATAGAGGAGCCTGGCCTCCAAGAAGTGGGGTGGGACATGAGCCTGGTCAAGGGGCAGGGTAGGGTGGAGGAGCAGTTTGTGGCCTGTGAGCAGTGCCAAGAGCGTCTGTGCCATGTGGAGGAAATGCTGTGGAGCTCCAGGATCAGCCCTAAGTGAAGGAAGAGTCTGGATTACATGGGGCCCAGCTTGATGGACTGCTGTACCTGAACCGTGCTGGATACAACAGAGATGCCGTCCTGGCTCTTCAGCAAACTGGTGATTTACTGCCTGTGGATGTTGGTAAGACCTTTCCCAGTGCCTCCTCATCCTTTTGGTCTAGAGTTCTAAACCAGTTTGAACTGACAGTTTATGCTGGCTCAGTGCATCATAATTCTTTTAAAAATCAGATTCTAGGAGTCTTAAGACTCAATGCAGCATTGTCAAACTGCACACTGAATGGTGCGGGTGCCTTTTTTGCTTAGCACAGCATGAGTTTATCCTCTGTTGGGAACAATGTGCATTTCTAGAGCAGAGTTCAGAACTGGCACTAAATCAAATCTGTAATTGCATACTCACACCTGAATGTTCAATGTTGACTGTAAGCAAGGCTGTGATACCAGAGGGCCGTTGCTCAGAGTGAGCAAAGTGTCAGTACTGACACTGCAAATCCAAATTAATGACTAGTTTTAAAAACTGACACTCTTAGTTGGACATGAAAAATTACCTTTTAAAGGGTGGTTGGCACATCATAGGGATAGTTCTGCTTCAAGGGAATTTGGCTTTGCATTGGCACATTTTTTAATCAATCTACAGGGGTTTTTTTTATGTCCCAAGACATGCAGGGCTCTTCCCAAGCCCTGGCAGGGCAGTCTTTCAGGATCTGAGCTATAGGTGTTACCTGTGGCTACGTTCCCATCAGCGCAGACGGCTTTCTGAAGGACAGTGGAAGCAGAAACATTTCTGCCTGGTATCGGGGGTGAAGTTTTAAGCAGTGTGGTTTTCCCAGTGCTGGTGTGATGTGCCTGTGCCCTCGGAAGGGCAGTCGCACAGGGCACACTCTCCCATGTTGACCTCAGTAAAATAAGCAGAGAAATTGGAAACCCCATATGTGATACCAACGTGAACCCAATCACCCCAAGTGGGGTAGCTGTTTTGCACAGAAAGCAGCTGTTAGCAGAAAACTTCTCCCCAGATTTCTTGCCTGTTTTCTGGTTCCAGGAAAGTTATTCTTACTGGCAGAGCAGTCCTGGCAGGACCACAGGCAAGGTCCTGGATTTGCCTTTGCCCGAGTCACTGGGAGGCTGCAGGAATGCCAGAAGTTCAGCATGCCCGTGGTGTCTTGCCACACCCACTCACACCGGAACTTGTGGTTGCATGGGGAACCAAACCAAGTGTTTCCTCCTGGTCTCTAGCGCCCTTTGAGAGGTGGTTGGCTTTAGGAAAGACTTATTAATTAATTAATTAATTAATTAATTAAAGTCCCAGGCACCACTTTAGATCTAGGCTGTCACACTGGAATTCTGTGGCATGAATATCTCCATATCCTATCCCGGGACACGCCGTGGGTTGGGGGGGGGGCGGAGAGGAGGAGCCCGGGCTTCACAGTGACCGAACTCTGACTTCGGTCACAGTTCCTATTTTCTGTTCGGAGGAAAGGAGTGGGGAGGGAAAGGGCAGTTTCGGTACTTTCAGGAAGTGATCTCAGCAGAGCAGGGACGAAGGAAAGGGAAAAGGAAAGAGGAAGGGAAACAGGAAAGGAAGGGGAAGAGGAAGGAGAGGAAGGGAAAAGGGGGAAGGGTGGGAACAGGTAAGGAAAGGGAAGGGAAAGAAGGGGGAAGGAGAGGAAAGAAAAAGGGAAGGGCGAAGGAGAAAGGCAGCAGCTGGATGAGGCAGCGGGCGGGCCCTACTACGGCCCGGCCCCGGCCCGCCCCGGGCGCGGGCGGTGTGTCCCCGGCTGCGGCGGCGGCTGCGCGGGGCGGGGGGGCCGGCGGCCCCTCCCTCTTTTCTTCCCTCCCGCCCTTCTTCCCTCCCCTCCGGCCCGGCCCGGGACCGCCGCCGCCCGCCCCCGGCCCCACCTGCGGCAGCGCTGGGCGGCGGCTCCGGCGGGGTCCGCTCGCTGCTCGCCCGCCCGCGCCATGGCGGCGGAGCGCGGGGGCTGCGCGCTGGAGGCTGTGCCGCTGCCGCCTGAGGTGCGCGAGAGCCTGGCGGAGCTGGAGCTGGAGCTGTCTGAGGGTGAGCGGGGCCGCGTCTCGGCCGCGCTGCGGGGCCCGGCCCGGCCCGGCCGGCGGGGAGGCCGCGGGCGGCTCCGGCCGCCCGCCCGGGGTGGTGCGGGCGCGGTGCTGCTCAGGGGGACCCGGGGCCGGCGGCGGCTTCGCTCCTCGGCGGAGCCCGCCGGAGCCCTCGGCCGGGGGCTGCGCCGCCCCCCGCGGGCCCTGCGCTGGGAGCGGCGGCGGAGCCTCCCTCGGGAGCGCTTCCAAACGGCCGGTTAGCGCGCGGCTGGATGCGCTGGAAAGACAGTTGGTTTTTAGATTTTTTTTAGTTTTAATGTCTGTTCCTAACTGTAGCTGAAACCTTAAACCTCTCGCTTTGGATCTCTCGTTAATTCCCAACGTTTTTGTGCTTCCCTGTGTGTACGGGCAGGAATATGGTGATGTTCCCTCCATTTCTGTAGAGCCACGGAATCACAGAATGGTTTGGGTTGGAACCTTAAAGCTCATCTTTTTCCACCCTCCTGCCATGGGCAGGGACACCTTCCACTATCCCAGGCTGCTCCAAGCCCCGTCCAACCTGACCTTGGACACTTCCAGGGATGGGGCAGCCACAGCTTTTCTGGGCAACCTGTGCCAGGGCCTCACCACCCTCACAGGGAAAAATTTCTTCCCAATATCCAATCCATCTCTCTCCTCTGTCAGTGGAAAGCCTTTCCTCCTTGTCCTGTTACTGCAGGCCCTTGTCCAAAGTCCCTCTCCAGCTCTCTTGGAGCCCCTTTAGACAGTGGAAGGGTCTTTAAGGTTTCCCTGGAGCCTTCCTGCTCCAGTCTGAACACCTCCAGCTCTCCCAACCTGGCTCCAGAGCAGAGGAGCTCCAGCCCTGTGCGTTAATGAGCCCTTGGTCAGAGGTGGCAAGATGCAGTGCCATGCAAAGGGTCACAGTGACCATTCTGTGGGTTTTCAGCCCCCAAAAGGAAACATTCCTTCCCCTTCACCTCCAGGCTGGTGTTTAGTGGTAACAGCCCTTCTGTGATTGCAGTGGGAGTTGGACATGGTATCTTGGTGAAGGGCTGGGGAGGATTTTTTTTTTGCTTATTAGTCCCCTGGCATGGCCTGTCCTGCAGACAGGCAGGTGTAGGCACTTGGTGCAGGAGAGCATGGCAGGGCAGAGGTGACCGAGGCAGCATTTTCTGGGAGCAGATACTCACTGAATTTTCCTCAGCTACGTTGTCAAGCTGCACATTGGAATAGAAGAGCTAAAAACCTGTTAATGCCGTCCAGGGTCCTGGGGGTGGGAGCATTCAGTCCTCTCCTCAGGTGTCTGCAGTATCCAAATCAGCATGTTCAGGTGGGCAAAACCGGAGTTATTTCACCTAAATACACTGACTGAGGTCACGGTTTAGGAAATGATTCACAGGTCTGCTGTCCTCGCCTGCAGTGTGGAACCTCTGGTGCAGCAGGAGGGGAAAGGTCTAGGATGGCTGACTTTGTTGTCCAAGTGTAACCTGTCACTGCACGCCTGCCGGTGAGGTCAGAAGCAGTACCTGGCATGCCCTGGTGCTTGTGCAAGAGGAGTTCCCCTGCGTTGTGCTCTGCTGTGTGTGCAGCTGGGACCATGTGCTGGCACAGTGGCTCTTCCTGTGTGCCTTCCTGTATGCCTGCGTGCAGGTCAGCTGGGGTTCCTGGGGCTGGCTCCTGGGCTGTGCAGTTCCTGACTGTGTGTTTGTTTAACTGATGGAGCATTTTTTTAGCAGATAGGTCTGCAGCATGTTAAACCTGCGAAACACCTGGAGTGATTGCAAAGTGTCCTAGTGCAGGGGGTCTGATATGGAAACTATATTGCTGTGTAGCTGCTGGATTAATTGATTGGATAAGGTGGTTATGTGAGCTCAAATTTCTTGACCACTACGAAGACCTAATTTATGAG